TAATGTCATATTTTAAAAGTACTTAATTATAATAAATAATAAATAAGGAATTTACATTCTTTTATCCGTCGGTTGTCAAGGTAGTACTTCGTTATAAGTTAAAAATAGGAATAGAGTTTTTTTCATAAGTTGTTGCCCTTTTTGTTATTATATTATATTTAATACTGGACAGGTTTCATACTATTTTAATGTGTGCTAAATTTAAAAATATGTTTTACATATTATTTAAATTGTCTACATTTGTATTTTAGTCTTCGTTTAACTTTTTCCATTTGGAGAGAATATCATGCTTCATGAACTTTAATCAAACTACAGATAATTAAGTCAGCCAAATAGAACTAAGTTAGTTGATATTTAGTATATTAAAGTAGAAACAATAAAAAGTTATCACAGTGAAATCAAAATCAAGTAATATGCATTATTTGTTATAGTTATAACGGGCTCTACCGATGGAATTGGAAAACAATACGCAGAACAGGTATGCGAACAGCTAAATTTGTTAAAAATCAATTATAATAATAATTTACTATTTTGAAAGCAACTCATAAGATACACGTACTGACATTTTTTTAGTATTTTAAGAAACAAGTATTAAATAAACATAAAAAAATTTATAATATTTTCACTCATACTTTGTAGTTGGCCAGTAAGGGTATGGATGTCGTACTTATTAGCAGAACTAGATCCAAATTAGAGAGCACGGCCAGTGATATAAGTAAGTATAATTACAACCAAGACGGATGGGAATATTTAATTAAATGTATAGTATTAAGACAACATAACACAAATGTGTCAAAATACCTTGTACAAGCTTGATAACATGTCTAAGTTGTAGTTTGTATTATTTGGCGGTTTATTAAGTTATAATTATTTACTATTGTCAAAAGAAAGATTATTTATTGAACCACTTATGGAGATTCAATAGTCCAGTATGACAATCAAGAACTATTTATAATCTATAGTTATACGGTACACGATCTAATGTGATCTAGTTAATTTTGTGTGACAGGAGGATGTCTATAAGATTAAAAGGTAAATTTCATAGGGCGGTCCATCAATGTTATCTTGGTCGGAATGTTGGGCAGTAGACAAGAAAACTGAACAGAGAATGAGTACAGTGGAGATGAGAGTGTTAAGATGGATGAGTGGAGTGCCTAGAAAGGATAAAATCAGAAATGAATACATAAGAGGGAGTCTAAGAGTTGCAAAAATTGTGGGTAAAATGAGAGAGAATAGATTGAGATGGTTGGTTATGTTATGGGAAGAGATGTAGCAGAGGCAGCGAAAGGTGTTATGTAGATGAAAATGTAGAGGGAAAAAAAGAAAGACCGAAGAAAAGATGGATGGACGGAACTGAGTAATATTTGAACACATGGGGTGATTGATCATGAGGTAAAATATCGAGATCTATGGAGGAGTAAAACTAGGGTGGCCAACCAAATGTAGTTGAGATTGTAAGGCGAAGATTTAATTGCTCTATTTAATTTTATGATAGACAACCGAATTTATTTGTTTTTTCGCCGTTACTAATATTTGATTAATAAAATGCTTGAATTTCAGGAAATAAATACAGCGTGAACACAAAAATCATCGAAGCCGATTTCACAGACAATATTTCTGATATATATGATCGTATTGAAAAAGAACTACGCGACTTGGATGTTGGCGTGTTGGTTAATAACGTTGGAATGATGAATGAATTTCCCATTTTTTTCTTAGAAATTGACAAAAAAAATCCATTGTACGACAATATCATAAAATGCAATATCGTATCGGTGGTAAACATGTGTAAGACAGTCTTGCCTGGCATGGTCAAGCGCTGTCGGGGTGTCATCATAAACGTGTCATCAGCATCATCAGTTACATCGACTCCGTTACTCACGGTTTACGGAGCTTCGAAAGTAAGACTAAATTACTTATTAAAATATTTCTAGGCAATATAAACCATAACCCATACTTGAAATGTTATTTTTAAAATAAAATTTATATGTTTACACCAAAGGTATTCGTTTATAAGTTCAGCAAGGACTTGGCTTCGGAGTACAACAAAGATGGTATAACTGTCCAGTGTGTTACACCATGTTTGGTTAAAACCAAATTCGTCAAATTCATGAAAATTCCTTTCTTGGTTACTAGTCCTGAAACTTATGTCAATTATGCGCTACAGACTACCGGAATTAAAAGTATCACTACAGGATATCCTCCACACTGGTTTATGGTACGTATAATATAAATTATAATGTAATGAATAAAAACAATAAGTAATGTAGCTCGAATATTTAAACATTTCTTTGGCCAGATCATCTTATTTGGACTTTAATCGAATGGGTGCAAAAAATGTAAACCATTAATTATAAAGTGAAAATTAAAGACCGGTATGGAAGTTCATGAATATCTATGTTTTACTGATTGGCATGGAAAATTGTTGAGCTACTACTTAAATTTCAAAAGAATTTAAATTAAAAAAATGATCATACATATTTTTGTTTTTTTTAATGATGTGTAGTTAAAATCTAAATATAACTACAAATAAAATAATGGAAATATGAAACAATATTTTTTTGAAAAAAAGAAACATAGTTTCAATATGTATTATTAGTTGAAAAAGATGAAAAAAAGTTATTGTTTTTATGCAAGTAGTTTTATTTGTAGTGAAAAAAAAAGATTTATTTTATTTTTTATAATTTTTAAATACGTATTATTCAATTAAATCAAACGATTTTTTTTTTGTATTTATAATGTACATGATAAATGCTCTCATGTACATCTTATCGTGTAATAGGGACTTCTTTAGCTTTTTGCACATACATGCAATATATGCGTACATAGGTTGATTTTAAAAACATAAACTCCTGGGCGCTCAAAATATTGATTCAAACCTAAAATAATTAGAATCCATTTTTATTTTATTTAAAAATTATATCACATTATAACATATTTTAATATTAATTTATAATTAAAATTGTTTTAGGTGAAAATAAGTCAGTTGGTTGAAAGTATATGTCCTCCACTACTAACTAAAATATTTATGTGTATTTTACTCAGAGAACGTAAGAAGTATTTAAAAGAGACATAATTGACTTCAGAGAATTTAATCAAAAATACCTAACCAGTGCTAAACAATTTTTTCTAATAATAAAATAATAATATGGCCAATGTCATTGTTGTGTATTTAAATTCAAATTTTCTGATTGATTAGTTTTTTGTTTTTCAACAATTTTAGTCTAATACTATGTGGGGTTAAAAATTATGTTGGGTAAGGTTAATTTATTTAGTTTTGGTGTAACATAAATGTAAAAGACAAATGGTGTTTGTAGCATATAAGAATACAGTTTGTTAGTTGTAACTATCCATAAGTTGTTAAATATTGTTACAAGTTTGCTATGGTTTTTGGAAGGAGTTTTAATACAGAAGCAATTAACTAAACCTCCGAGAATAACAACAATGTTTTTCTTGTTTAACCTAAGGTATTTAATTGTTAATTTAATTTGAAAACTTTTAGATGTCGTGTTCAAACTGATGTGGTGAAAATTATAAATATTTTAAATTCGTTTTAAATTAAGCGTTTTCTAACCAAATATATAATTTATATGATATGTTAAAAAAATGCATTTGTTTATTCATTTAATGGTACACGACGGGCAAAGTCTCAAAACGCAATTGATGGTTAATTTGGAAAATTAAAAATCGATTAAATACATTCACTGACAGTTATATCATCATAAAAATGCATGATATTTTACAATAAATTTGTAATAACATTTCATACTTGAATTAATAATATCTGATCAAAAAATGTTTTTAAAATTATTTTTACTAACATTTTTGTCTCATACAATGTAGTTTATATTATCTAAGCTGGTAAAAAAAAATGCAGTGCAGGGTTAATTTATTTAGTTGGGCCATAGTTTAAATTTGAGAAACAATGTTACTTCTTTGTATCATAAAAAATGTTATAATTAACATATGATAGTTTTTAACGTTCTTAAGTATTATTATATTTTTTTTATGTTCTGTGAAAAACTTTAAATGTAGTAACAAAAAATTGTAACCCTTTCAATATCAACCACTATATTTTATCTGTTCTGCATTATGTAATTAAGTGTTAAATAGGTGTGAATAGTTTCGTTACAAATTCTCTCTGTGCGATGAAAATTTAAATAAGAGTTGAAGTGGAGAAGGGGTTTTAATTTAAAAATATTAAGATTCCCGTGAGACCCCTCCAATCCTGTTATGGCTTAACACCACTATAAATTGCTGCCTTTAATTTTCTTGTTAATATTTTATTTCATGCATATCTCATATCACATTACCTCTGACGTTACAAGTTCTATTCTCATCACTACCTTTGTTTTTTCCACGACTTCTTCTACTCCGTTGCTGTTTTGGTTGCACCTTTAAAACTTTAAGGAACAACTACTAATCTTGCTATGTTTTCGGTTGCATCTGCAAACTGCACGGAGTTATGACTTATGCTGCACCAAACATTTCAAACCGGAAAGGAGACACGCCTTTTTTGTCTATTACGTTATGTCGTTTACCCAAATCCTCTTCAGTATATTCTTTGGTGCAATATTCTGATAATGACGGCACCGTTTGATTATTAGTTACATAATAAAAAAATATTTTATATATTACAATAATTTTACAATACAATTTTATTGTAATTTTGTAAAAACTAAATAATGTTACATCCAAAAATGTTTATTTTATTTTATAACTTTTTAAGAGTAAAAAATGTGATAAATTAATTATTTCATGCATTTTAAATGTTACAAAGTGGACTTTGGAATAAAAAATTGTAAGCCAGTAAGACATAATAATTGTTATGAAAGCCTCAAGGTATGTTATCCACGATGCAAACATCTAACGGTTTTTTTGATACCGACAAAGCTTGTATAAGTTGATACCTTATGGTATAGTAGTAATAAAAAATCATATTTCATAAAAAAAATCTAAAATATACATTTAAAATACGATTAAAACTAAAACATATTTAAGTTACGGACTGTTTTTTGAAATGTTTTACTCAAATTTCTTTATAAAGGTGTACCTAATTTATAATGACTGGCTAGAAATAGCTAATAGTTGTGTAGTTTTTTTTAAACAAGTATTGCTAAATTTCCTTTGGCCGTTTAAATTATTCAAAATTCACTGGGAAAATGGCAACGGCGGGCGATCAGTTAAGTATTTATGAACAAAGCAGAGTCCATGTAATGCAAATGAACAATATGTTTTTGTTATAGAAATAAAGAATCAGCGTTTGTTCTGGTTTTGTATCATTTTCGCGTCCAACCAAAAGCTACTGGCCCAACTTATGCGCTCCAACAGCCTTTTGCTACTTTATGGGACAACCTGATAACTGTACTTTGGTCAGTGTATGGCAAAGGGTCGAAAATACAAATAGGTACACCTCTGTATTGATAATTTTTTGCACATTTACAATCGTAGGTTTTCACGCAGGTATAAATCAACTTCAGTGGGCTTTGGAGTTCATGAAATGTATGAAAATTGACTATGGGTACCCAGAGAGTATAGAAAAAATTGTAAATGAGCTCGAAGATCGATTAATATCACTGTATGCAAAAGTAGGCCAGAAACTTGCCGAAAATAACGAGAGAAAAAAAACCGAAGAAGAAAAAGCGCAAAATGAAAAATCAGAAACTGATGCTGCCAGTAAGTAGTAAGCTTATTTCTTTAATGTAGTGTACTTACAATAAATACATAAACTACAGCCGAATGGAAACAATGTCTTTTCAAGAGTCTAATTATTGGCCTTGTTAAATAGCCGATTTTCTTAGTCAAGCTAAAAAAACCAACTAAAATAATATTTTTTTTACACTTAACGCACAACAAGACGCTGATGAGTCGAGCAAAATAACATCTTACAATGAAAAAGACATAATAAGTAAATTGGAAGGTCTGAAATTGCCACTGGACCCAGAAACGGGCGAGATAAAGTATTTGACGACGTTAAATTCTTTAGGCAAAAGGAAATCAATGGCCGACGATTGCCCAAATGACAAGAAAGATTCGAAAAGTAAACCACTTTTTTTTTTTACTTAAGATTAAGGAACATCTAGAAGTAGTTGCATAATGAGTTGTAAACTAAACATTAAAATGAATTGTTGCCGATTTCAGATTCTCTGAACAAAGACTATATGATTGGGGCATTGAAAAAAGTATTGACTAAGCCAGCGGATGATGCTAAGAACGAAGTCGAAGAGTATGGCATACTAGTTCATTAACTGCTGTTTTTAACTAAAATATTTTTTCATTTTTAGGCTTATTAAACAATTGGAGGTCAAGTCATCAGGAAAACCAAAATAGTTGTTTATAAAGTATTATTTTACTAACGTAATAAATATTAATTTGTTTATACTGGTTTTATACTATAATTTTGGCAATGTGAAAAAACTAACAAGTGTACTAAAAGCAAACCTACTGGTTTTGAAATATTTCTGTTTTCCCAGTCGTGCATAGTCGAAGTTGAATCGTAAAAAGATCAAGTACATAAAATGTGTTGTTAATCATTTTTATAAATAACAATGTACGAAATTAATGCAATAATATGTATTTACTAATTATTGATTATTTATCCAAGAAAAGCCCATAAATATTTTTTAGTGTGTACTGAATAAAAACACTTAGGTGTGCTTACAAGTTAATAATGAAGTTTTGGTTATTTACAAATTAATAATATAACAATAATAATTGATTGAACATCATAGAATAAACTATGATAATCATTCATTGTTATTAGGAAAAAAAATAAAAAAATTAATGGCATAACTCACTACTGCGGACAACCTCTTATTGGTGAAATTGGAGAACTAATATAAATAATTGGATTAAAAATATGTAGATAAATAATTTAGACAATCTATAATAATAGAAAAAAATAAAATTAAAATAGCAATAAGTAGTTAGTAATAATCACGGTTATTAAGTAGATAATCGTGGTAATAATAAATATAAATCAGGTAAATTAGATTCACAGCACATACACTATTTGAACTATAAGTTGTTTATTTTATAGTTTAACCATATTTTAATCTATTTAATATAAGTTTTGTAGCTATTATATGAATTGGGACTTTATTTAATAGGTTTAGATCTACTTGTGAAAAATTTCGGCTAGACTTCGAATAGTTGAAATTTCTAAGTTATTTGTTTGTCTTATATTATTATTGATTTAATTTGTATTCAATCGACTTTATACGTGAAATATAGAAAAATTCTATAAAATAGTGGTTTTGTAGAGAAAACTTTAAAAAGTCTTAGAGAAGGGTATGATTTAGATTTGTTTAGAATCATTATAATTATATTATACCTCAATGAGTAAAGGCTATGAAATTATATTTGGTATAGTTCATTCTTCAATCATGTTTAAACAATTTCACTTCTTTTTATAAATGTCTTGCCAACTGGCTCCAGATTTAAGTATGACTATATCGTCTACGTAAGAAAATTGTTTCCATATAGATTTAAATTACCTAATGGAGTTACATATCTTAAATATAAAATGGGTACTAAAACTTTCTATTGGGGAACTGCAAAGGTGATTGTAGATTCTGACTTGATTGTTTTCTTGATCATTTTGAGATCAGGGAAGCTTTTTTCTGACTATGCCAATTGATTTAAGAATATTTACTAGAGTTTTATGAGAAATGCTGTCCATAACTTTACTGAGGTCAAAGCCGGCCCCTAGTGTTTTGTTTTTGTTTGTTTAGGTTAAATATCCATAGATATTTGTGCAAGGGCGTCTTCAGTTCTTCTCCTTCCTTTCCCGAAATTCCATCTGAGATTTTAGCAGAATAGAGTTTTATAGTCAAGTCGACAATTTTAGAAAAAAATATTTAGTAACCTTGTTGTAAAACGTTGTACTTTGCCTTATTTTTGTTTGAGTAATGTGAAATTGGTGTAAATATAAACGAGAAATATCATAGATAAAAAGCCAGGTATTAAAATACCATTTAGTATAGTATATGAAAGGATATATTATATTGAATATAGAAATTTTGATGGCAAAAAATTAAACAATAAATGTATTGCATAGTTATTTTAAATAAATATATAGATACATTAACAAATTATCCATGCAAATTATGTTTTATGTGTACCTAATCATACAAGCGTATGAAAATAAAACATCGTTTTATTGTTTTCCTAATCATCTTTGCTAAGTATACTTATAAGAGAAGTACTCAACAACGTTGTGCCAAATATTAAACTATCGTCAATCGGTTTCTTATAATACTATTTTTTTAAAATCATTAATTGTGTTCAAAATGTTTAAGCTGTTAAGCGAATACACTTCATTAGAAAAATTAAGTCTTTTTTTGCTAACCATATTCGTTCTCAAGTTTACATCGGCTTTGATTCGTCTAATTTATTATAATGCTATTGCGCCATTTCTAAACACACATATAGACTTCAGATCAACTGGAAAATGGGCAGGTAACTAGCTAAATGGAACGCATTTATAATACCTTAGATGAACAAATCCACAAATGCTGATTATTGTAGTTTTTGTAGCTATAGCGAAATATAATCAATTATAAATCTGTTTAACGTAAAATAGTTTGAAAGTTCCAACTTTTAGCACCAAAGGTGAAATAATACAAACTACCGGATGATTTGGAAAAGGGAACATCTCCAGTATTTCGAGTTGTACAGTAAAGACAAAAAGCTAACATTACTAACATTACTTTTTATTCTTGCTAAATAATACATGTTTTTTATTTACAATTATTTTTTATTATATTTATTAAGTTTTGAGGTACAAAATGAATATGTACATTGTGATGCCATTCGCGGACAATATCGTTTCAGGAAATAATTTTCATTCGATTAAATTGCTCTAATTTATATAAATATTAAGTAATATTTCCTGTTCGTTGTTTTTTTGTGTTGCGGAGCTAATCAATTAAAAATTTGTTAATTATTTTAAGTTTATAATATATTTCTATGTCTAGTTGTGACCGGTTCTACCGATGGAATTGGAAAAGCTTACGCTGAACAAGTACGATACCGTTTATAATATTTGTATATTCTATTTGATTATTTAATTATGAAACAATAATAACACATAGCAATATGTAAACTATTTCTGTGATTTATCGATCCATGCATTTTTAGTTAGCCAAAATGGGCATGGCTATAGTGTTAATAAGTAGAACCGAATCAAAACTTGAACATACCGCTAAATATATTCGTAAGTATTGTAATAGCACTTCATCGACTTTTATTAATACTCAAAATAATTGTATTAAGTCTTAACGTGCACCGAAATCATGCTTGCCAAGGTCATTTCGTGTTGATAAACTTGAAATGGTTTTCAAAAATAAGGGCATATTGTCTTGTAAATAAATTACATTTCAAATATGACCAATTGCTTTAAAGAATATTTGGTAATTATGACCTAAGTCGGTCATAATCCATTTGCCAAATTTTAAGTTTCTATCTACAATAATTATCAGTAAAATAATACTCAAACAATAATAGACTTACCTATCGGTGGGTAATATTTTTTAACAGATATTATACCTAATAGTCGTATGCCATTAAAACCCAATACGTGCTTTAGTCTTTTAAATTTTAGGCTACCATTTGGTAAGATTATTCCAATTTTTAGATATAATACCTTCCCAGCCTTGCATTAAAGCTAAAATGGTTAACTAATAGTATTTTATTTTACAATTTTACAAAATACACAATAGCTAATAATAATTGTGTATTCTATATTTTATATCTCTGTGCTTAGTTGTTTTTTTCAAATTATTCTTAATGCTATAATAATAACAGTGTAATGTTATCTCGATAGTTTTTTACTTAACTGTCAAAACTTTCAATTGTTGAAAAAATATAATCGGGGGGGGGGGGCTTATTTGGGGTCTCCCAAGTGTCCAATCACTTATTACTTACCTTTCACGCTGAAACACAATGCAGTCTACTACAGTAAACAAGATAAAGCGAATATTGGCATTACCTACAATGTGGAAGCAACCTTTAGAAATACTAGTCTTACATTTGTTCAGCCATATATACAATGAAGAACAATCATAAACTGGCTTTTTAAAACCCAATAAATGTTTTAGGCTTTTAAGTTTCGGCCTACCGTTTGGTAATTATTGGCAAGAACCTTTTTAAGACTAAATAATACATTAAAGTAAACTGTTAATTTGCAAAATAAAAGACTGGCACATTGTGGTTGAGACATAGTGGAAACGAGGTCACGCTTCTTCTGAAATTATTACAACTGCATTTTTAATTAAAATAATTTTAAACAAACGCTTCGATGCGAAACGTATGAAGTATAAATAATTGTATACTTCACTTTAAAAAAAAAAATGGGTTGGTAATCGTATAATTTGTTTTTTTTTTTATTTAATGGTAACGATATGTATTTTATGAACTCTTCGGTTAGCGAATGGAACATTTTTAGTGAACGATTGGGAAATAATATATACATATCTAAAAATGATTTAATGATCATAAAAAAATGAGTAATAAGGTAGATACGTTTTGGGTTAGGTTAGGCTAGGATAATGACGATTATTATTGTAACACTATACAAGTTAAGCGATTTAGGTGATACCTAAATGGGTGCAGACACAAATTTGAAAAAATAATTAAAAACATCAATGTAAAAACCATACCTACTCAGCCCTGAACTGAAACTAAAATGTTAATATATATCAATAACTAAATATTGTTTTTTTCTTTATTGTAAATCTCTATGATAAGTTGGTTTTTTCGAATGATTCTTATTTCTATTATAAAGACAGTGCAGTGATAAACAGTTTAAGAGATAAAAAAAAGAAAAACAGATTTTTTTTTACGAATTTTATTAGAAACATTTGAATTTAAGATATTGAATAATTGTCAATATAGGGTGATCCGAAAAAGATAGTGTAATTATTATAGTGTATTATTTAACAATAAAAATGAACGTGGATTATTTTCACTTAAGCCCCTAGTCGTAGTAATTTTAATATTTAGTTAATACGTTTTCTTACCTGCCTAGACGAAACCATTTCATTGAATTGCATTATTAAGTTCAGAACAAATAAAAAATACTAAATTTCGAATAGGTATTAAATGTGTTAAATATCAATACTGGTAGCTACGACTGACTATTCAACAACTGTATTATACTGTTTTACTGAAAACAATAATTTTTAATTATTCACTATTTTGCATTATATAAAATAAAGCCAGAACAATTGGGTTAGGGTCTAGTAGGTCGAAGCATAACTCCGTGTATAGATACAAATCATTGTAAAGATAATTATGTGGTCAAAATAATTGTAGTACCTATTCGTCTTACCCGATATTCTTTATTTTGTAATTCAATTAGGTCATTACACCTTAATCACTGAAAAAACTAATTTTTTAGCATACAATATTTAGTAAAATGTTCTTGTATGTAATTTTTTACTTATTTTATATCAAACATATTATAATATAAATGACTTCATTAGCAATGCAAACTAAAACGTTAGGTAACTACTAATGCAGCTGGCAATAGCAATATCTATTATACATAATGACTGGCTCGGTTTATAATTATTCTAAAATGTATAATCTAATGTCATACGAATTTCTACTAGTATTCAGAACAAAGAAATAATATTAAGTTTTGAATAGGTATTTTTATATATATACGTTCATAATCCACGTGAAAATCGTAATTTAGTTAAAATATAAATTATGCATATTATTAATGTTGTAATATATATACTATAAGCTATTATTTAATATTTTTTACTGCATAATATTACGTTTAATTTTTTAATAAACCTTTTATATTTAATTATTATAAATATACCTATGATATTGGGTGTTTAAATTCAAATGTTCTGGTTGAAATACATTTTTTTTTTCTAAAGTCATAGACCAATACTAAGTGGTGTAAGTTATGTCGTGTACGGTTAATTTATTTAGTTTAGATCTAATATAAATGTGAAAACTATGTAACTTTTTTGAAATATGTATAACAAATGTGAATGTAGCATATGAGAGTATAGTTTGTGAGTTGTAATGTTCTTACATTGTTAAATATTGTGGTATGGCTGTTTGGGGGTGTATTAAATATAGTAACAAGTAATTGAATCTTTAACTTCGGGTATCTTAGTGTAAAATTTATTTGAATACTTCCATTAGACAATGGTCTCTGTGTATATTGAAAAATATAAAGATTCTAAACATTTCGCTGCACTAAACATTTCAAAACGGAAAAACGACAAGCCTTCTAAGTCGTTTACTTTAGGCCATTTAACCCAATCCTTCACTGGTTTCTTCTTTGGTGAAATTTTCGAATAATGACATAATGCATGCCATTACCTTATGACAGTCGAAACTCAATGAACAACTTACCAATGATATTTCGGATGCTACTTATATGCTAATATGTCTTATGACAATAAAAATCTTAAAAATTCTTTTCTACCTCTTTCTATCGTCTTACCAGCCGATTTAAAACTAAAACGTTTTGGGTGTATTACACCTGAATTTGGGACTACACCTATAATAGTTATTTTGATAAAAAACTTACTTCTTTTTTTCGTTCCACGACCAAATACATAATCATAGATATAATATCTCATATCATTTATCTCCAATCCCTTATGTCCTCAGAGATTTATCTCTTATCACTTAACTCTCATATCTGATATCAAACTGAAAGTGAAAGCGTTATTGTAGCTTGGTGGTTATTTATTTAAATTTGTTTTTTTAACTAGTTATGATCATTTTTAATGAAAAATTTAGTTCTTTTACATGTGTTTTGATTTAAGAGAATAATACTAAAATCTCTCATCTCAAACTGAAGGTGAAAGCGTTTCGCAAAACAGTGACATAACATTTTTTGTATTCAGCCCAACAACATATGCCATTTTAATAAACAGGAACCCACTTCTATTATGTCTATTTATTTGTCTTTTAGAAGATCAGGCCTACATTCTAATGTTTTCACCCGTTACCCACCCAGTTTTTTTAGTAGAAAAATAGCATATATTTTTTAATATTCTACAGAATTAATTTTTTTTTTATTATAATTTTTCCACAACACAACAAAATCATTTTTTTCAGGTCAATATTGAAAATTGGAAAAGTGTCAAATTGGTGTTTTATTTTGCTCGATTTCAAGTGTGCAAAGGTGTGATTTTTTTTAATTTATATTAAATAGCTAGTATTTTTATGATATATAGAGAGACCAATCGAATAAATATGTCCAGTAAGCAAAAAAATATACTGTGTCAAAAAATCAATTAATTTATCATTCTAAAATTCTACGTTTTCAGATTTGCCCCTAAGCCCTTGGCGGTGAGAATAACGAACGTTATTGAGGCATTCTTATTTTAAAATCCTAAATGATTGGAATTGGTTTTCAAGTTTTATTGAGGTCTAAATGTTATGGCACATTTTGTGATTACAGTTGAATTTTAAAACGAGGATAAGGAACGTGATAAGTCAATGATGAATTATACTTATGATCATTTTATTTTTATTATTTAGTTATTTTATGAAAGACGAGCGTTGATCGTAGACCACATGTATATGTAGTGATTATAATATTCAATAACAGTCAATATTTATGATGAATAACCTAACGTCCTAACCCATTAGAGGAAGATAATGTAACAGGAATAGAGGTAGGTAATGTTGAATTGAAAAAAAGTATATTAATAAAATCATACCTGAAAGGTACTTTATTAGGCAAAAAATTTTAAAAAGTCACCCCACCCCCGTCAAAATCGTGAAAAACACCCGAAAAAATTCACAAATTTTTCAACTTAAAATAACAAACCAAAAAAATATCCTAAACCATTTCCCCTTTCACAAACACGGCGTTCCTAGATTTAGAAAAGGCGTTTGATCATGTTAAATGGAATATATTGTTTCATACACTGCAAGAAGTAGGAGTCGAACAAAAAGACCTGCAAATACTGCCCTCCTTGTACAAACGTCGGACAGCTGAAATGTAATGCAAAGATAAAAAAAGGAGTGAGTCAAGGATGCACTCTATCACCGCCATTATTCAAATGTTACATGGAAAAAATAATTAAAACAGTGAAGACAAAATTAGTAAGACAACAAATTGGAATTAAAATCGGAGGCGAAACTACCTTTATGATACGTTTTGTTGACGATATAGTAATAATAAAGCTATCAAAGAAATAACAGAGACGCCTAGAACCTTTAAAATGAAAATCAATGAAAAAAAGACAAAGATACTGATGTGTAAAACCCCGAAATACAATTGCTGATATATATTTAGATAACCATAAACTTTACCAGGTAAGCGAATTCCCATACTTAGGTTATTATTATTATAGCCGATGGGAAGGAGCCGAAGGGCACAAGAGAAAACAAAAGACGCATAGGAATGGCAAAATCAGCGTTCAGGAAAAAATCCAAATTAAACACGACCAATAAATTGAACCTTAACATTAGGAAAGGACCCATTAAAACATATGTTTTGAGTATAGCGGCTGTGAAACATGGACTATAAATGCAATTTAAATAAAATCATTACAATCATTCGAGATGTGGTGCTGGAGACGCATGCAAAAAATAAGCTGGACGAAACAAAAAAGTAACCGAGCTGTACAGGAAATGGTCGGCGAGGAGCGTTTATGAATAGACTCGATTAGGAAGAAAAAATGGTGGGACACACGTTAAGACATCTAGAAGAACTGCAAAGCGCAATACTAGAGGGCATGATCGAAGGAAAAAGACCACCTGGACGGACTTGCAATACATTTATTGGATAAATCAGGAAAGATACAGTAGTTGGAAGCTATAGGGCATCAAAAGAAATAGCGAGTGACCGCGAAGAATGGAGAAGGTGAGTTGCGAACCTACGAGTTGAAAAAAACTGGTTCAAGTTTATATGGCTTTAAAAAACAATAATTTGGTTCTGTATTAAAAAAAAAAAAAAAAAAAAAAAAAAAAATACAATAATGCCATGATACAATTTTCTGAAATTATTTTTCTCATGATATTTCGGAGGTCGCCTACGCTGAAAATAATAATATATATATAGTAATTAGCTTCATACATACCTTCATATATATACATATTGTTCACATAAATGTATATGTGCACAATGTACAATATCTTTTTTTTTATTTCCACACAACATAAAATAACTTATACATTTGCATTATAACCAGTGCAACAGTATACATTATTAAATATTTATAATTGAAGAAATTTAAATCAACTAAGTTTTAGTAATAAGTTTGAGTTAATCGAGTAACGAACAACATGGAATTTGTAACAAACTTCTTCTATTGTGTATTAATTTTTAAAATAACAAGATTTATAGTGATATTTATATACCAAGAAATTATTGCGCCGATCTTGCATTTAAATATTGATTTTACGAAAACAGGGCAATGGGCAGGTAATGTCATATTTTAATAGGATTTAATTATAATATATAAATAAATAAGTAATTTACTTTATTTTATCCGTCGGTTGTCAAGGTAGTACTTCGTTATAAGTTAAAAATAGGAATAGAGTTTTTTTTATAAGTTGTTGCCCTTTTTGTTATTATATTATATTTAATACTTGGACAGGTTTCATACTATTTTAATGTGTGCTAAATTTAAAAATATGTTTTACATTTGTATTTTAGTCTTCGTTTAACTTTTTCCATTTGGAGAGAATATTAACTACAGATAATTGTATCAGCCGAATAGAACTAAGTTAGCCAATATGTAGAATATTAAAGTAGAAACATTAAAAAAATAGCGCGGTGAAATCAAAAACAATTAATATGCATTATTTGTTATAGTTATAACGGGCTCTACCGAAGGAATTGGAAAACAATACGCAGAACAAGTATGCGAACACTAAAATTTACTTAAAAACCATAATAACAGTCATTTTTTGTTTTTGAACAAAACTCATTTGATACTCGTACTGAGATTTTTTAGTATTTTAGTAATTATAAAATAATTAAGATATTTTTACTCATATTTTGTAGTTGGCCAGTAAGGGTATGGATGTGGTACTTATCAGCAGAACTAGATCCAAATTAGAGAGCACGGCCAGTGATATAAGTAAGTATAAAAATTAAATTAAATTTATAGTATTTAGACAAACATAGCACAAGAGTGTCAAAATATTTTATACAAGCTTGATAACGTGTCTACGGTGTAGTTTGTAATATTTGGCTGTTTATTAAGTTATAATTATTTACTATTGTCAAAAGCAACATTTTTTCCATTGAACCACCTACAGAGATTCAAAAGTCCAGTAAAACTATTGGAACTTTGGAGGTGTAAAACTAGGGTGGTCGACCAAATGTAGTTGAGATTGTAAGGCGAAGTTAAAGAAGAACGAAGAAGAAAAATTGGTCTAGTGTATTTTATGATAGACAACCGAGTTTATTTGTTTTTCCCCCGTTACTGCTGTTTGATTGATGTGTAAAATGCTTGAATTTCAGGAAATAAGTACAGAGTGAACACAAAAATCATCGAAGCCGATTTCATAGACAATAACTCTGACTTATATGATCGTATTGAAAAAGAACTACGCGACTTGGATATTGGCGTATTAGTCAATAACGTTGGAATGATGAATGAATATCCCATTTTTTTCTTAGAAATTGACAAAAAAGATCCATTGTACGACAACATTATAAAATGCAATATCGTATCGGTGGTAAACATGTGTAGGACAGTCTTGCCTGGCATGGTCAAGCGCCGTCGGGGTGTCATCATAAACGTGTCATCAGCATCATCACTTGTATCGTTTACGTTATTCACGGTTTACGGAGCTTCGAAAGTAAGACTAAATTACTTATTAAAATATTCCTAGGCAATATAAACGACAATCCTTACAGGAAATGTTATTTTTAAAATTTAATTTAAATGTTTACACCAAAGGCATTCGTTACTAAGTTCAGCAAAGACTTGGCTTCGGAGTACAACAAAGATGGTATAACTGTCCAGTGTGTTACACCCAGTTTCATTAAAACCAAATTACTCAAATTCATGAAAGATCCATTAATGGTTGCTAGTCCTGAAACTTATGTCAATTATGCGCTAAAGACTACCGGAATTAAAAGTATCACTATAGGATATCCTCCACACTGGTTTTTGGTACGTATAATATTAATAATAATGTAATTAATAAAAACATTAAGTAATGTAGCTCGAAGATTCAAACCTTTCTTCGGCCAGATCATCTTATTTGCACTTTAATCGAATGGGTGCAAAAATTGTAAACCATTAATTATAAAGCGAAAGTTAAAGACCAGTTCATGAATATCTATGTTTTACTGATAGGAATGGAAAATGGTTAAGCTACTACTTACATTTAAAAAGAATTTAAATTTAAAAAATGATCATACATATTTTTGTTTTTTTAAATGGTGTGTAGTTAAAATCTAAATATGACTACTAATTAGATAATGGAATTATAAAACAATTTTTTTTGGAAAAAAAAGAAACATATAGTTTCAATACGTATTATTAGTTGAAAATGATGAACAAAAGTTATTACTTTTATGCGAGTAGTTTTTTTGTGATTGAGATTTATTTTATTTTTTATAATTTTTATATACGTATTATTCAATTAAATAAACAAATTTTTTTTTGTATTTATAATGTACATGAAAACATTATCTTATCGTGTAATAGGGTCATCTTTACGTACGTGTCTTCTTTAGTTTATTGCACATACATGCAATATATGCGTACATAGGTTGATTTTAAAAACATAAGCATCTGGGCGCTAAAAATAGTGTCTGAAACCTAAAATATTTAGAATCCATTGTTATTTTATTTAAAAATTATATCACATTATAAAATATTTTAATATTAATTTATAATTAAATTGTTTTAGGTGAAAATGTGTCAGTTGGGTGAAAGTATATTTGGTCCACTACTAATTAAAATACAAATGTATTTTTATATGAGAGAACGTAAGAAGTATTTAAAAGAAACATAATTGACTGCAAATCATTTAATCAGAAATATCTAACCAGAGATATGTGTCTGAATATTTTCTAATAATGAAATTGTAATATGGCAAATGTCATTGCTGTGTATTTAAACTCAAATTTTTTGGTTAAAAAGTTTTTGTTTTTCAAATATTTTAGTCTAATACTAGGTGGCGTTAAAAATGATGTTGTTTAAGGTTAATTTATTTAGTTTTGGTGTAATATAAATGTAAAAGACAAATGGTGTTTGTAGAATATGAGAATACAGTTTGTTAGTTGTAACTATCCTTAAGTTGTTAAATATAGTTACAAGTTTGCTATGGTTTTTAATACAGAAACAAATAACTAAGCCTCTGAGAATAACAACAATGTTTTTCATACTTAACATAAGGTATTTAATTGTTAAAATAATCTGAAAACTTCCGTTAGACAAAGGTCTCTGTTTGAATAAAAGTTTATTATAAGTGATAATTAAAATATTTAATAAATGTCTGCTGAAATTGTAACGAATTTGACCAAATTGATTAATTAATGGTAAGTTAAGATTAACCAGTTTTCTCTACTACAATTTTTCACAAAATACCAACTAACAGATAAACGATATCTAAATAATGGAGGAAAAGATTTATATAGACCGCCGCTTAAATAATTTATAGAAAATATTTAAAAGACTAGACAACACCAACAAATTGGCACATGCTTTAAGGTAAAGTTCTTTTTTTAGTTAACCAAATCCGATGTACCTAAAACCTATAAAAAGAACGAAACCTTAACCCATATGATTATATAACTAATCAAATAACCATATCCAAATATGTAAATAATTCGTGTCCAAAACCCAGCTGCAATAATTGATTACGTTCTCGCTTCTATTTTAACGTAACACCCGTCGACAAACTTCTGTGTAATCGCATACTTCAAACGAAGATTTCCAGGTTTAAGACACTTATCCGATGGATAATAACGATAAGACCAGACTAGTGTTGAGTTGACAATTTTTATTTGAAGCCTTGCATATTTGATACCAACGCAATGGTCCGGATTGAACTTCTCTGGTTCCGGATAAAGGTTTGAATTGAAGTGTATCCAAGCAGAAGTGTATCAACAGGAACCGTTGTTCCTGTAGATATTTTTTTTTTTAACTAATTTAGTAATTTCAATCACCGAATGTGATGGCAATCTATCGAACAATTTGTCTACGGCCGTGCCTTCAGGGATTAAATAGCCTCCAATCATTGTTTCCTTTTCGACTTTCCTGGCAAACACGGGAGTAACGGTATGTAGTCTCAGAGTTTCTTTGATTGCACGTTCCAAGTATTGCATCTTTTGTAAATCCTCATAGGTAGGTTGTCGATAAGGATCGCCAGAAGAAAACATTGTTAATAACTCTTCCAATACCTATTTATAAGATGAAATAAAAAATTTATAATTACTACGAATATTTATAATATTTTATTTTAAAATTCATAAAACGAAATACAATATATAGTTTACTTTATTTTGTACATCTTAAAGGGGAGCCAACATAATTATTGCACACGCGTTCGTTGTAGCTGTCGTGTCTTAACCCGCTAAAATCAAATTATACTCAAAAAAACCTCTCTCATTATAATTTTGATTTTTGAAATTATTTAATGATAATGGCGTCATAATGCTTTAATATGTCACAGGTATATGTTGTTTAAATATTTTATTGTCAATTTTGTTTTGAAATGTAATTTTGAATTGAAATTATGGCAATGGATCAAATTAATAATCGTGTTCTCTATTCACGATAAACAACATAAATAAAAAATTAAGTTCAATCCCCGGCCTTATTTTTTTGCACTTTTTTTGACCGATTATTATCACATTTTATCTAGACATTTTATATGGTACAAACGATTTAAGCCTCGAAAATTTAAACCCCGCCGCTACCATTTTTCTATACATTTTAATACCAAATTAAAATTATATTTGATGTTAAGAAAATTTGAAGGAAATATTATAACTATTTGCAAGAAACTGAATTCCTAAAATTTAAAATTCAAGTATTAATAGTTTACATTAAATTTTAGAATGTGTTATACATATTGACGCTATATTGTTTTTATTATAATTATAATGAAAAATTAATATAAAATAACTCTGAAAAATTTACCTGTTCTTTTTCCATTCATGAAACTTCTTGTTTAAAAATAATCCATTGCCCATAAATGATTCGCTAAACACATTATATTCTTTAGGTTTGTTAAACAGATTAGGATTGGTAAGAACTGCTTCTAAAACCTCAGGTGTTTTAGAAAATATGTACAATCGATTAATAACCCATGATTTGAATAAAGTATTTTCGTAACTATATTACAAAGACAACGAACAAATTATTATTACAAGACATTCAGAATATCGAAAAAGATAATACAATGTAATAAATAGACGAGAATAGAGCGTAATTACTTTCTGGAAATTTGGAAAATATTCATCATTACTTTTTTAGGTCCTCCAAGTAAAACTGGTAACATTTCCAAGAAAAAGAATCCATCTGGACCGGGTATTCGATTTGCCAATGACGTCTTTCTCCGGTTTACTATTTTATAATATAGAACTACCAAAAATAATATTACCGCTATAATTATACCAATAATGTTATTTAGGCTTTTATCATTTATTGTGCCAAACACCTGAAAATATTGTGTCTATAAATTCTTATTTTTGTTAAATATAATCTAGTTCTATAAAGATTATATACTCATAACATTGTTGGAAAAAATAGGTCATCTTTATGAAAGTATCAAATGTATACATTTGTGTATGAATAATCAATATGTACTAATTTATAGTTTAAAATATTGACTCTATTCCAAGAATAGACGAAGTTGAAGATGGATTTTGAAAGCCAGGCAAAGTGACTAATTCATCAACTACATTATTAATATTACTTATTGTTCATTAAAATATTTGGAAGTTATGACCTATTACGGTCATAATACATTTTGGTAAAAAAAAGAGTTTAGTATATTTAAAAAAAATTAAGTTTCTACATTTTTTTTTTGTCCCAAATAGTTTCTAACCAGGTTTTTACCTACATTAGTTAGTCTATTCTTATTCCCCTAGCCTCTCCAAATCATGCCTATGTGTTATACTACTAAAAAAGTATTTTTTTTTTAATATTAAATCATTTTTACATACTATGTATACATTTACAAATTTCCCATTTCCCAATCGACCACTTCAAATTTTTAATTCATTAATCCCAAGTAGAAAAGTTCATAAAATACGTATCTTTACCATTCTTTAGAACAAAAATAAAATTATCCGATTATCAGCCCATTCATTGTCAATTAAATTATTTATTAATTGATTTAATTGATTACAATTATAATGAATTTCCGAAGATACGAGACCTATAATATTAATTATTATTTAGAATTAAAAAATTGGTAAGTACGTTTTTACCAAAAAAACAGACCTAAATCCAAAAGAGTAAAACACTTATTGGGTTTTGATATAAATGTCTTTTGGCTATGGAAATATGTTGTTTAAAAAAAATGTGATATTTATGTTATATACAAAAGTGAAAATGATTTAATGATGATAAAAATTATTTTTAGTAATTACTAAGGGTAAGGTTAAGTTAGGTTAATGACAATTAATATTGCCTAGTAGAACTTAAACTAGTTTTTAAGGCGAAAATATGTAATTAAATGTAGAAAGGGTGTGTGGAACCAAATAATAATTAATTTATCTTACACTATCCAAAGTAAGCAACATAAGAAACACCATGGAGCATACAAAAAAATAAAAACATTAATCTGAAAACAATACCTTTGCAACTAAGTATTGAAGCTAAAATGTTTAACTATTAGGTTTTTAGTAAATTACTAAGAACATTAAAATTATTTTTACCTGCCAAAACGAAACCATTTCGTTTATTTGAATTTTCTACAGGACGAATACTTGAAATACTAATACTACAACCAACTTTTAGAAACTATACAGAACGACTAACTAGGTTTTTCATTATTCTAAAATGTATAATCTCACGCGCACTCTTACTAGTATTTAGAACAAATAAATAGTATGAAGTATACAAAAGAATATCGTTGTAATTAATAATTACGTTCATAAGCTATGGGAAACTCGTATTTTAATTAAAATATAATTTTTTAATATACATGCTTTAAGCTACTATTTAATATTTTTATAGCGTTGAATTAATAATACTTTACCTGCTAAAACGAAATCATTTCAATTAATTAAATTTTCCATAAGATGGAAACTTGAAGTTCAAAAGTTGAATAATCAACTTTTAGCAATTATACACAATTGACTATTTTGGTTTTTAATTATTTTTAACATTTATACTCTCGTGCCATACGCACTCCAGCGGGTATTAAGATCAAATAAATTATATTAAATTTCCAAAAGGTATTACATTTACGTTCATGTAATTTGTTGAATACTTAACAAGGTCATTACACGTTTTTCGAAAAAAAAAATTACTTTTTAAATATTCAATATTTAAAAAGTATTATTATTATTATATGAAATGAAGCCCGCATAATTAGGTCACTGCAGGTTACTGCATATATATATACAAATCAATGTAAAGACAATAATGTGGCTAAAATTGCCTTATTCGTCTTTGTGTAACCTACCCGACATTCTTTATTTATTATTCATTTTGTTAATTTTTGTATAATGATAACCTAGGGAAAGCATACCTTATTTAAAAAATGCAATTAAAAACTATTTTATAAGTAAAGACAGTCAAGAGCAGTAAAAACCGTGTTTTTTTTAAAGCGCAAATGAGTTTAATTTAATATTCAATAGAAAAAAAATTAGCACGTCAACTTTTTTACTATTTATCTTGGAATGATGTCTGTTATCATGTGGTGTAAATAAAAAACATGGAGTGTAGGGTTAAGTTATTTATTTGGGTTGTAATTCAAACTTTAGAAACCATGTTACTTCTTAGGGCATAGTGATAGTGGGGACGGGGATGTTACAGGTATATGAGAATTATTAAAACCGAAAGTGATAAAATTACTTTTAAACTAGTAAAACACTAAATAAGCATATTTAAATGGGTGTTGGAATGATTAAATGTAATCATAATTAACCAATAATTAAGCCAAATCGAATGGAAACTTTTGGCTGGTGACTTTAAAATCATTTTTGCAAATAAAAAATCCGAGCCACTTAAACCATTTCTTTTCCAAACATTCAATTTGTCTATGAACAGTGATCCTACACAATCCACAACAATGTAGGGTACAACCATTGATGCTGTTTTTTCCAGATAATTTAATAAAATTTAGTCACAAACATATAAATATAACATACCTCAGTTATTACAAACCTATTATTGCTATGGTGGAATACGAGATTTTAAAATATAATAATATACATATGAAAAAATATTTTTAAAACAATACCGCTTTTTATAAAAAATAAATTGTTTTACCAACGCAGATTTTTTAGTAGAAAAATAGCATAATATATTTTTTAATATTCTGCAGAATAATTTATTGTTTATATTATAATTTTTCTAGATCATAAAAAAATAATTGTTTTCTGATCAATATTAAAAATTGTAAAAGCGTTAAATTGATGTTTCATTTTGCCCGATTTCAAGTGCATGGGTGTGATTTTTTTTTATTGTTAACTAGGTAATTTGTTTATGATATATAGAGGGACCAATCGAGTAAATCGGATAGGGAATTTTCCATTCTAAAATAATACCTTTTCAGATTGGCCTCGAAGTTAAATATATACTGAAGAAGTAACTGTAAAATAAAAAACAAATGTATAGTATAACATTTTGTATATTATATTTTTCAAATGAACTTTCAATTGATTCATGAACACCTTACTGGATGTAAACTTAACCAAAATTAACGTAAAATGTAAATAATATTAAATCTTTCTAAATTCTAAGCCGTCTTAACCCGGCCGGTGGTAATAACGAACGTTAAACCTAAAAGAAATGAGACACCCTAATTTTAAAGTCCTAAATTATTGGAATTTGTTTTCAAGTTTTATGAGGTCTAAATGTTATGGCACACTTTGTGATTACAGTTGAATTTAAAAACGAGGATACGTACAACGGTATAAGGAACGTGATAAGTCTAACGATGAATTATACTTATGTATATTTTATTTTATTATTTTATGAAATACGAGCGTCGATCGTAGACCACATATGGAAGTCCTATTGTTGTCGTTATATGTAGTGATTATAATGTTCAATAACAGTGAATACATATGACGAATGACCTAACCGAATATAGGAAGATAATTTAATAGGAATAGAGGTAGGTAATGTTGAATTGAAAAAGTATTTAATTATATATTAATAAATGAGTAATCATTTAAAAAAAAAAACATTTAAAACTTTATTCCTTTATCGTATTCCTATTCATGCTGTACTGGCATTTTTAATTGTCCATAGAAAGGTATAATATTTACTGATTTTACCACTCTCAAAATTATAAGACCTTTAAAGTTTCAATTAGTTATAACTTTTACTAAAAACTATTATAGAACTAATTTCATACTGTTCAGATAAGTAAAATCAGGAAAAATTAATCTTTCAATGGACGATTAAAAATGTCAGTACAGCTTAAAACAGAATATTAAGCTAAGAAGGCATCAGGCATGCTTATATTATTTATCAGTATCACTATTTAACATTACTTTTTACCATAGGACATGAAAATACACACACTTGCGAAAATAAGGACAATGCTATAATAATAATTGTCATTAACATAATAGAATATTAATTTTGTCTCTTGCGAAAAAAACCAAACAACCTTGTACATTGTTTATTTGTCGATAAAACTTCTAAAAAGCTGAATGTCATTGAAGAAAAAGTGTAGTCTTATACCTTTCTTAGGTTAGAGTGTTGTTGTGCGATAAAAGTTTTTTTTTAATTGAATCGTACACTTTACAAAGCTTGAAAATTGCGTGTAAAATATCACTTCACAAGCAATAGAATCTAAAATTGTAATGCTCCGAACACCGAGCACTATCAGTCAAATTTAAAGCGAGTTGGGTATACCCGAGACAAAAATAGATCCAACTTTATTTTGGTTTTCTCCAAACTGTTTTGGCACATGATCAAAAACGTAATGCATCGTTTTACATCAATTGTCTTTTCATCATCTAATAAATATTTGTTTTGTTTGGTTTGTAATATTAAGAGCATAAAGCTGTTATGAAAATAAATATTTTTGATAAATAGGAATTATATCTAAAAATTAAAAGAGTATACATATTTTAACTTTTGTGTTCAGAAGATGGGTCTTATTTGAATGCCCTCCTTGGGAAGTTTCACGTCAAAATCTATTTTTGTCTCAGATATACTCAACTCGCTTAATATTTGACACAGTCTTTTAAAATAATACAGTTATTTAAAAAATATGAATACAAAGTAATGGATTATTTAAGAAAATGGGAGTCGATTAGCTATAGTTTATTGTTATTTATATTAGCAGAACAATACATGATTGGTTAGGTTAAATTATTTTTATCTTCTAAACCCACCACTATATTTGATCTGATTTGCATTATGTATTTAAGTACTAATATGTGTGCATTCTTCCGTTGGACGTTATCGCTGTTTGGTAAGTATATAAAGGGTTGAAGTGGAGAAGGGGTTTTAATTTTAAAATATTAAGACTCCAATCACAACGTACTTGGTTTACGGAAGAATGGTGTGTTATGGAATGATTTATTGTTGAATAACCGTGTGGTATAAAGTCCAAATGTTTGGATTTGTCTGTAAAACCTGTTTTAAAAGAAAAAAAATTATGTAATTATCATATGGTGGTGAGACCCCTCAGATTATCAAACTATCTCTGACGTCATAAGCTCAAGTATCATCACTACCTCTGTTTTTGCCACGACTTTGTCTTCTACTCCATTGCTGTTTTGGTTGCTCCTTTTAACTTTAAGGAGCCACCACTAACATCTACGCTATGTTTTCGGTTGCATCTGCAAACTGCGAGGTGTTTTGAGTTACACTGCGCCAAAAATGTCAAAACTGAAAGGAGACACACCTTTAAAGTCTATTACATTAGGCCGTTAACCCAAAATCCTTTTCGGTACCTTCTTAGGTGAAATTGTCCTATAAAGACATAATGCATGCCATTGCCTTATTATACAGTCAAAACAAAATGAAATACTTAATAACAAATATTCGTTTTGCTACTGCTCTGACTAATAAATTTGATGATCTTAAGAATAGTTTAGCTTCATAATCATGTCAAATAGCCGAAATTAAACCGGAGAATCCTCTTTTCACTGAGAAGTTTGCTGTCTTTTTAGATAAAATTAAATATTTTGATTGTGTTTTTAAAAAAAAAAATTGTTTCGTTTTCTTAAAAGATAAATGGCTCACCATCAGTTGTAATAGAATTATTTTAATTTATGTTTCAAACTCATAGCGTTTAGTGTAAAGTGATGAGAACCAAAAGGGTAGGTAGGTGGCTTAAAACAAAAAAAATACACATGATAGAATAGAGCTAACTCTATATCTACATTCAGTCTAATTTTTCAAACCGTAAGTTCTAGTGATTCAGAGAATACAGAAAAAGTTTCCATCTTTGGGAAGGGAAAAGGTTTTTTTTTTCGTTTTTAGACTTTATTTAAATGGCTCAATATCACCTCTGTAGTATAATAAAGTAGAAACGTTAAAAAGTTAGCGCAGTGAAAAATCCGAATTACCGGTTTTAAAATTCACAAAGCTAATTTTTAATTACTAATTCAGTGACACAACATGACTACATTTTTTTAATTAGTTGGCTTATAATCCACTATTGTAAATTCTACACAAAGTAAAAAACATATAAATTCGCATAATTATCTGCACTAATAATTATTTTAATATAATAACGTTAGAAAGGTATCTTATAACCTTGCAATTATTCTTCACTAGATATAATTATATTAGTAAATTTTAATCTATGTGTAGCAGTATACATTAAAATAAAATTTATATTCCAATAGATTTAAACCAACTAGATGTTAATAATATTGAGTCAATCAAGCAACGAACAACATGGAATTTGTAACAAACTTCTTCTATTGTATATTATTTTTTATAATAACAAGATTTATAGTGATATTCATATACCAAGAATTATTGCGCCGATCTTGCATTTAAATATTGATTTTACGAAAACAGGGCAATAGGCAGGTAATGTCATATTTTAATAGGATTTAATTATAATATATAAATAAATAAGTAATTTACTTTCTTTTATCCATCGGTTGTCAAGGTAGTACTTCGTTATAAGTTGAAAATAGGAATAGAGTTTTTTTTATAAGTTGTTGCCCTTTTTGTTATTATATTTTATTTAATACTGGACTAGTTTCATACTATTGTAATGTGTGCTAAATTTAAAAATATGTTTTACATATTATTGAAATTGTCTACATTTGTATTTTAGTCTTCGTTTAACTTTTTCCATTTGGAGAGAATATCATGCTTCATGAACTTTAATCAAACTATAGATAATTAAGTCAGCCAAATAGAACTAAGTTAGTTGGTATTTAGTATATTAAAGTGTAAACATTAAAAAGTTAGCGCAGTGAAATCAAAATCAAGTAATATGCATTATTTGTTATAGTTATAACGGGCTCTACCGATGGAATTGGAAAACAATACGCAGAACAGGTATGCGAACAGCTAAATTTGTTAAAAATAAATTATAATAATAATTTACTATTTTGAAAGCAACTCATTAGATACACGTATTGACATTTGTTTAGTATTTTAAGAAACAAATATTAAATAAATATAAAATAATTTAAAATATTTTCACTCATAATTTGTAGTTGGCCAGTAAGGGTATGGATGTCGTACTTATCAGCAGAACTAGGTCCAGATTAGAGAGCACGGCAAGTGATATAAGTAAGTATAGTTACAACCAAGACGGATGGAAATATTTAATTAAATGTATAGTATTAAGACAACATAACACAAATGTGTCAAAATACCTTGTACAAGCTTGATAACATGTCTAAGTTGTAGATTGTATTATTTGGCGGTTTATTAAGTTATAATTATTTACTATTGTCAAAAGCAAGATTATTTATTGAACCACTTATGGAGATTCAATAGTCCAGTATGACAATCAAGAACTATTTATAATCTATAGTTATACGGTACACGATCTAATGTGATCTAGTTAATTTTGTGTGACAGGAGGATGTCTATAAGATTAAAAGGTAAATTTCATAGGGCGGTCCATCAATGTTATCTTGGCCGGAATGTTGTGCAGTAGACAGAAAACTGAACAGAGAATGAGTACAGTGGAGATGAGAGTGTTAAGATGGATGAGTGGAGTGCCTAGAAAGGATAAAATCAGAAATGAATACATAAGAGGGAGTCTAAGAGTTGCAAAAATTGTGGGTAAAATGAGAGAGAATAGATTGAGATGGTTGGTTATGTTATGGGAAGAGATGTAGCAGAGGCAGCGAAAGGTGTTATGTAGATGAAAATGTAGAGGGAAAAAAAGAAAGACCGAAGAAAAGATGGATGGACGGAACTGAGTAATATTTGAACACATGGGGTGATTGATCATGAGGTAAAATATCGAGATCTATGGAGGTGTAAAACTAGGACGGCCAACCAAATTTAGTTGAGATTGTAAGGCGAAGATTTAATTGCTCTATTTAATTTTATGATAGACAACCGAATTTATTTGTTTTTTCCCCGTTACTATTCGATACTATTCGATTAATAAAATGATTGAATTTCAGGAAACAGGTACAGCGTGAACACAAAAATCATCGAAGCCGATTTCATAGACAATAATTCTGACTGATATGATCGTATTGAAAAAGAACTGGTGACTTGGATATTGGCGTATTAGTCAATAACGTTGGAATGGCGAATGAATATCCAATTTTTTTCTTAGAAATTGACAAAAAAGATCCATTGTACGACAACATTATAAAATGCAATATCGTATCGGTGGTAAGCATGTGTAAGACAGTCTTGCCTGGCATGGTCAAGCGCCGTCGGGGTGTCATCATAAACGTGTCATCAGCATCATCACTTGTATCGTTTACGTTATTCACGGTTTACGGAGCTTCGAAAGTAAGACTAAATTACTTATTAAAATATTCCTAGGCAATATAAACGATAACCCTTACTTGAAATGGTATTTTTTAAATTAAATTTAAATGTTTACACCAAAGGCATTCGTTTCTAAATTCAGCAAAGACTTGGCTTCGGTGTACAACAAAGATGGTATAACTGTCCAGTGTGTTACACCATGTTTGGTTAAAACCAAATTCGTCAAATTCATGAAAATTCCTTTCTTGGTTACTAATCCTGAAACGTATGTCAATTATGCGCTACAGACTACCGGAATTAAAAGTATCACTACAGGATATCCTCCACACTGGGTTTTTGTACGTATAATATTAATAATAATGTAAAAACATAAACATCTGGGCGCTAAAAATAGTGACTGAAACCTAAAATAATTAGAATCCATTTTTATTTTATTTAAAAATTGTATCACATTATAACATATATTAATATTAATTTATAATTAAAATTGTTTTAGATAAAAATGAGTCAGTTGATTAAAAGTATATGTCCTCCACTACTAATTAAAATATGTATGCATGTTTTACTCAGAGAACGTAAGAAGTATTTAAAAGAGACGTAATTGACTTTAGAGAATTTAATCAAAAATACCTAAACAATTTTTTCTAATAATAAAATAATAATATGGCCAATGTCATTGTTGTGTATTTTAATTCAAATTTTCTGATTGAACAGTTTTTTTGTTTTTCAACAATTTTAGTCTAATACTAGGTGGTGGCGTTAAAAATTTTATTGTGTAAGGTTAATTTATTTAGTTTTGGTGTAATATAAATGTAAAAGACAAATGGTGTTTGTAGCACATAAGAATTCAGTTTGTTAGTTGTAACTATCCATAAGTTGTTAAATATTGTTACAAGTTTGCTATGGTTTTTAATACAGAAAAAAATAACTAAACCTCCGAGAATAACAACAATGTTTTTCTTACTTAACTAAAGTATTCAGTTGTTAAATTAATTTGAAAACTTTTAGATGTCGTGTTCAAACTGATGTGTTGAAAATTATAAAGACTTTAAATTTGTTATAAATTAAGCGTTTTCTAACCAAATATATAATTTATATGATATGTTAAAAAAATGCATTTGTTTATTATTCAATGGTACACGACGGGCAAAGTCTCAAAACGCAATTGATGATTAATTTGATAAATTAGAAGTCGATTAAATACATTTACTGACAGTTAAATCATCATAATAATGCATGATGTTTTACAATAAATTTTTAATAACATTTCATACTTGAATTAATAATTTCTGATCAAAAAATGTTTTTAAAATTATTTTTACCAACATTTTTGTCTCATACAATGTGGTTTATACTATCCGAGCTGGTAAAAAAAATCATGCAGTGTAGGGTTAATTTATTTAGTCGTGTCATAATTTAAATTTGAGAAACAATGTTACTTCTTTGTATTATAAAAAATGTTATCAGTAACATATGATAGTTTTTAACGTTCTTAAGTATTATTAAATTTTTTTTTATGTTTTGTGAAGAAACTTTAAGTGTAGTAACAAAAAAATTATAACCCTTCGATATCAATCACCATATTTTATCTGTTCTGCATTAAGTGTTAAATAGGTGTGAATACTTTCGTTACAAATTCTCTCTGTTTGATGAAAATTTTAATAAGAGTTGAAGTGGAGAAGGGGTTTTAATTAAAAAAATATTAAGATCCCAATCTCAACGCACTTGGTTCACGGAAGAGTGTAGAAATGATTATGGAATGATTTATTGTTGAATAACCGTGTGGTATAAAGTTTGGAATTGTCTGTAAAATTCATTTTGAAAGAAAAAATATGTAATTATTTTATGGAGACGAGAGCCCTCTAATCCTGTTACGGCCTAACACCACTATAAATTACTGTCTTTAATTTTCTTATTAATACTTTATTTTATGCATATCATATCATTTTATGACATACCAATTTGTATTATAGAAAATATTATTAGTTAACACTTGAGATTTTAGCTGTCTATATTTTGTATATTATTAATTATGCATACATTTATTCAGACAACTGTTACAAATTATTCTAGAAAAAACTTAAGCAACACTTATATGTTATAAAATAATTAAATACTTAAATAAACACATAATCACAGAAATAAATGTGACTTGTTAAAAATAATACTAAAACTTTAGGCTTATTTCCTTTTTAGAGTTCAGTGTTTAAATTTGCAATTGCGTGAGAGCCCATGCTTAATTAAAAATAATTAATAAGAAATGATTCTTAGTAGTTACATTTTTTGGTTTCACTTTCAGCATACCTACAAACTGAAGCCTTTATTACAATTTATAAATTTAAATTAAGTATTAACAAATTTATAAAAACACTTTTAACATATTTATAACTAATTTGTATTGAATTTATCGGTATAGTTAATGTTATAATGGAAAAGGTACAACAAACTAAAATATAAACTAATATGGGTAACTATTAAAATGTGAATCTGTGCGTGTACCAATATGGTAATTTTAGTAGTCTTTCAAACCCGTTTTTATACGTTATAACTGTTGTTTTTTCTATGTGTTAATATAAAGGGCATATAGTATGTAGCATTAAGTAGGTACAATTTATTTTGTAAATAATATTGTTATCAATGAAATTGCGTTTGAAATTAGATTTCCCGCGTTTTTCGCTCTTTACTAGATAACCATGGTTACCCAACCTGGTATCGCGAACAAGGCAAAACAGTATAATGTTGTCGCGAACTGTGATAACATTTATTGTGATAGCAACTGCTGATAATCGCTGCCGTCCGTCAACGAACTTTCGAATCAAATATCAACTATATAAAATATATTTTAGCTTTTTATTAAACTTATTCCTAATAGTATTAACTCGATGCTTGTATAATATCGAGCTTGTATATTTATAATAATAGTTGTAGACTTTTGTATGTTCATAATTTTAACCAACGGTATCTGTTACAATGTAAACTAAACTACTGCCCGACGGCCGCTAACAAGTCACATAATATAAGTATTTTAGGTGTTAAGTTATTAAAAATGGAAGACCGATATTCAGACGATTTGAAATCAACGTAAGTAATTATTTTATTTTGCTTTTATATGAAAAAAATCAATAGTTTAAATTTGTACGAATTATCAGGTAGTTAATGTACCCGTCATGTCTACAATATTTTTCTTATCAAAATTGAAATTAAAAAAAAATAATATTCTTATTTATTTACTATGCATTGAGCCCGAACGTTATGGCAAACATTAAATAACATTTTCCGTATCCTTCTACCAACGATGGCTAGTTAACCACGCAAGTGTAAAACATTTTTAAATGGTTATACCTATTAAAATAGGTGTCATGTATAGACTCAATGTGTAGTAAATAATTGAAGACTTAATTGCACTCGTTTGTAAACTTAATATATTTTTTATTATACTAATTTGTAGAGCTGAAAAAGAATTGGAAATGATATTACGCGAAAGTGACTTGAACTCGAGCGTTGAGCTTCTTGATAAAACGCTTACTGATAAAGCACATAAAAGTCAGTTGACTAAGAAGAATGTCAAAAACCTTATAAAAGTATGTGTATAGTGTAATTACTACAAACAAAATGCAATGTTTTTTATATAATATATACTTTCCAGAACGTATTAACTAACGACGACGTCGCTACTATGTTGAGACAAACTCTAGACGAAGATTGTGACGCAAATTGTTTGTACGAACCAAAATTAACCAGAGCAAAAATTAGGTAAAATATCGACTGCTTTAGTATTCTAGTATTTAAGGAGCACACAACATACGCCGTGAACGTAGCGGTTTTAGTTTTTCTATTTTCATGTATTTTAACACAAATTATCGAAAACAAAACAAGATTTGTTATGTGCTCATTGAAATAATAAAACTAATCATTCGTTTGTGATAAAGTACAAAAAAAAAAAATTATTGTTTAGAGAAATGTTGAAAACCTATCCGCCTTCTGTTCATCAATGGTCTCCAAATCAGCAACAGTCTATAATTTCGGAATGTAGACTTTTGATCGAACAAGAATTCCCAGACGATTCCGAAGACGAAGAATATCAGCCTGATAAAAATTTAGATGAAGAAGACGAGGAAGACGATGATGACGAATCCAAATGTACCGAAGTCAATAAATCATTTGACACGGAAGGTGACGTCGACAACGACTGTGAAAACAGTGAACCGATAGAAAACAATAGCAAGGTACGTAATTTTAAAACCAGTTGACTTAAACGACATTTTGGTTTACTAATCATAGTTTATTTTCCTAGGAGACGATCGGCATGCGCACCAGGTCCAAGTTTTCTTTAAGCGATACGCCGTTAGAAATTATTGAACAAGCTTTTATACCGCCCGACATTACCGAAGACATGTACGACTCTGCGTGTGAAAACGACGAGTGGATGGAGTTTCTTAGTGAATTCACTAAACCTTTAGGTAACGTTTACTGTTTTCCCTCGTAGAATAAACCAACAATTGTGGAAATATTTTTTTTTCACTTTAAAATAATTTAATTGTATATTTTTTATGTTTAGATTCTGGGCAAAACGACGATGCCGAGGACGATCCTGAGTATAACGTTTTGTGCGATGATGATTTCACAAATGGTTTAATAAACATATTTAAGATAATCTTTAGTAAGTATAACCCGATATTGATTGCTATGCTTTTCTTTTTACACAGTCGATAAAGAAGAATTTAGGATCGATAAATCGGTCAAAGTCACCCGCAAAGAGTATAATGATTTGATGAACGAACTCTACGAGTTTACCGAAAGTTATACAGATTTCAACGATTCCGGAACGAATAAAGTTTCCACGAGGAGCGACTGTGATAAAGTAAGTAAATAAATAAACAAAAATATTGTTTATTGTGAACGAACCTTAATTGTTGTACATTTTTTTAGGACGTAACTAAGTCAAAAAGTGCCGTGTCGTCTATTCCGACATACACGTCTAGCGTGGCCGATTGGAGTGCCAATTGCGACTTTACGACATATAACGTGATGGTACCAATTAATTTTTCGAACGCTCAATTCGTAGATAGAAAGGATGCCGATTCGAATAGTCAAGTCGTCAAGTCGAATACTTGCCAACAGCTTAAACCGAAACCCAATAATCATTTGTCCATAGTTTCTGTTTTGAACACCACTCACACTAGTAACGCACCGGCAGTTTCGTTGAACAGTACGTCCGACGAGTCGAATTTGGAAAAATATATTAGCGATATTAGTAGACACAATGTTTTCAACGAACAAGAGATTGTCGGAATGCTCCCGAAACAAATGTTAGTTTTCCAACAACAACTCACACAACACGTCCAATTGTTAACGCAACATTACGTGTTGTGCACTTTGGACAAACCGTTCAACAAGTATTTGAGAATTTGTAACAAAATGTTGGCAAGTATTGCTTTTTTTTTTAACCTGTTGATTGCATAAATTAAAACAAACGCCAATTAATTCTCCGTATGTTTGTAGGAATCTATTAAAAATTCAACTAAAGACAAATCGTACGTTCCGGTCAACGTTAATAGTTCTGGAAGGTTCATAAACGATTGGAATTCGGCCATAGAAAACGAAAAGGAATATAACAAGTAATTTGACGACCTGACCTCGCCAGGCTAAACAAAGTTGCAGTTTTTTTTTAATATAATCCTTACTATTTCAGTTTAAAGGATTGTGAAAAATTATCGTTTGAGACTATGCGATTTATGTTGTCCTATTATGAACCCGTGTTCGTGTATCCAGAGTTGTTGCCGACGAAAACGTTTTGCCTCAGACCCACTCGCATGCCCATTACTCCGGCCGAAGAAAAGTATTAAAAAAAATATATGCATTTATTAGTCTTGTTTTTTTTCAAAATTAAGTACTCTATTATTTTTGTTTTATAGACTTTTGCTGTTAAAAATCAACTATGTGTATAAAAGTCTAAAGGAAAAACAACAAACAAGAGCGAAATACAGGAAAAAAGATCTTGCAGACATGATGCCGATGGTTTTGAAGACTGTGCATAAAAGATGGTTTTCACACAGGCGGCTGACCGATCTTAAAATTTTTATTACGCGACACAAGAATACGCTCATTCCCAACAACGTAAATGTACGTGTTTGTGTTTATGAACTATTTCGCCATTATAATTGTGTAATTTCCAATTTAAACTTGTTTTAGTCTTATTTTAAAAATGGCAAAATCGAAGACGTCGTCCACATTGTCAACGTAGAAGCTCTCGCTTCGAAGAAATGCCTATTCGAAAACGACGTACAGAAGTTCCCATCGATTTGGAAACCGACGTTAAAACAGTTATTGAGCAGTAGTAAACCAATGGAGAAAAATGTAAAAATAGGAAAATAATAAAAACCCCATCTGTTAAGAAGCATTCGATGTACATCATTGGTGTTGAACATGTTGTAACGACATGGTTTTACATTTCCGTTTATTTTCACTGTGAAACATCTTTATGTAGCGCCGAGCCCAAAGAGCGTTGCTGGAGCTGGAGTTAAGCAAATATTGAAAAAGTGTTTTTAAAACATAAATAAATTGTTTTAATTTTCCATCTTAAAATAAATATCGTCAAGACTTGAATAATTTGTATTAGGTATCACTATTTATTTTATGTTATAAGTTTGAATTTTATAAGTTATCTAGTTTTGTAAAAAAAAATAAAATAAAACAACACATTATTTTTTCTACTTTATCTTTTTTTTTTTGAATAACAATAATAAATATAGTGAATTTACACAAATATAGGATTATGCTTCATGGCGTACACAGAGTCTGTATATTCATACAGTTGACACGTTGACAATTTTGTAAAGAAATCGCCAGGATAACACCCCGTATGAACAAACTTACAAAAACAATAAGTCTTAACTTAAGCAAAAAAAAATAAAATGAATTAAAAATGTTGCCTACAAGATCGTTGATGGTTATAGTAAGTTACTCGTAATAATGTTTAACAAAAATAAATAAATAAATAATAGGTAAAAATATAATAAAACTAACTAAACACACACTTTTAAAGTCTACTCTAAACCAAAGGTATTTATGATTTGGCATTAAACGTTTCCTCATAAAGTTGAGCGCCTAATGATTTTCTATTGTTTCGATAGGTTTCTCTTGAAGCGCATCTACCTATATTTGGACGGGTTCCCCTGGGGTTTACGGTAAACAATATTGGAGTAAGAGATTATCACAAGTATAATATTACAAACGAAGGTGATCGAGAGCGAATCTCGATTGAAATATAATATAATGACCGCGTGGAACTACTTGAGTAGTAACAATCCCACTAAGAGTACGAATAAAGAACCGTGCAACGGGTTCGTAGTCCTCGACGATCTACTGGTATTTGATTCTATTTGCATGTCGATCGAATGTTGTTCACATAGATTCTGGAATAAATAAAAAAAATGTAACTATTAATATATTGCCTGAAAGTTAAACTTAATAACAATCGTTAAAATCTTACTAATAAAGACGACGCCATGTTATTGAGAAATTGGTTCGTGAATGCGACGGTTTGATCGCCACAAGTAGATTTCACTATGTTGTGGACGCATTGTAAATAACCGCGGAATGATCTGGTTTGGAAATGAAATACCGATTAATGAACGAAATCACTTAAAATAATAATAAATTTAAACAAAAAAATGTGTTCTACCCGCAGAGATGTTTTAAATTGTTGTTGATATAATCTTGAGTAAACAGCGTATGGCCATCGGAACTGTCAGTGTCCATTATTCGACGTATGTTGTTTTGGTGTTTGTTACCGCACTCTTCGTACTCTTTATGAACGGTCTTTAAACAAGGAGCGTGTTTCAAATATTCTGTAAACATCAAAATACAGCAAGACGTTAGCACAGATGGATCGGAGCAATTAATTATTAAATCTGAGTGGATACGGTTAAAACACGAATCATTGTAAAACAAATACCTTCCAACCTAACCAGTTCAACATCATCAAAGTTAAAATTATTCTACTTTTGTTATTATTGTAATTGTTATTGTCGATGATAAAAAGTATTACTAACCGTCTTGGTAAGGGCCTGCCTCACAAATTTCTTGCATCACCATTGTCGGGTGGTTATACAGTTTATAGAAAGTCTTACGCTGTTCGGGTGTCATGCAGTGTCTCGTGTAGCTGTCCACGCACACTAAATGTTTTTCGTAATTTTTGTATCTGAAATAAAGTTTTGTTAGCAAAAATAGTTACTAATTCTAATCGGTTGTCAGGTGCCGCTTTGATCGGTCATAATGACCAACACTTACGGACAGTTATCGACAAAATCCTCTTTTTTAACAACCACAGGAAAATCGGTGTAGTTGAACAGAGGAAATTGTTTACAGTTCATAACTTGTGGATTATTACAAGTCGTCGGCTCATCGTTTTGTTGTTGTTTATCTGCTGGTAAACTAGTGACAACGCCTCCGACTGCAACCCAAAAACGTTTTAACGTTGATTAATAAAACACAATTAATTTATTAGTCAATAAAATTCATTGATAATCAATTCATAACTAACAGCATAACTGTTTCTATGTTTTTAATGTGTAGGTATAAAATAAGAAGGGTGTTTTTTTTTTTTAATTTCAGGTCTAATCAAATTAAAGCTGAATAATTATCAACAACAGTTGTATATAGCTTATGTTTATAGTCTATATATTTGAGCCATCCTACTATATATTTTCTCCTTCTACTACAACTTTGGAAAATAAAATGAATGTCCCTAAAACTCTGCATAAAAAAATTGGTTCTACTACAAAAATAAATTGTTTAATTAAACTTAGATAAAAATGAAACGCATCGATCGTAGATTGTAAGAACAACTATTAAGAATAAATAACATTTTATAGTCAACAAACTTGTTTTTAAAAAAATCTTGTTATTTATGGTACCTACACAACAGCTTTTTTAGATCTATACTTAGTCTGAATTCCATACTATAAATCATAAAACTATGTTCAAAGAATCATATAAAGAAAAAGTTTCCACCCCTTCTAGGGAAAAAAGTTTTTTTTTTTTGGTTTGTCAACGTAATATACTACTATGTTTAAAAAATATTCCAAGTTTGGTAAATACTTAGGCATAAACACACAAAAATTGTTTAAAAAAAAAAAAAGACACATTTTCAAAGTCAAAACAACATCTTCTCAGTTCGCATCGAAGCTAAAAACTAGCTGCATAGTCGAATAAAAAACGGTTTAACAATTGAATATAATAAGTAACAGGGTAGATAAATATGTATTAACAAAAAAAAAAAAATTCTTAAATCGTTTAAGCATATTATGTCAACTATATTTTCTGTGTATTGTGTTCATAATTTTTAGGCCTTTGGACATTTTATTATCATCAAACTAACATCTCGATGATTTGTGCTTGTGTCTCTCAAACTACTAATTAATAAAAAAAACATAAACCATTCTCTCCTAATCATTTGTGGTAGGTGTTATAATAACTGGTCATTCAACACTCTCGTTACTGTAATATCATAAATCATAATATTATGGTCTTATTTTCCAACATTGGTTTGGTTGTTGTATTTGTGTACATATAAATAATATTATATAATCACAGTAAAGATAACACAAATGATGTATGTATAAGAAAACAATTTTTTTTTTATTCATGAATGGTAAACATTTAGACGTAAAAAAAAAAAACTATGAAATTCATGGAAATTTGTTTATCTACAATGCAGTGTTAATTATAATACACATCGCATCTAGTCAACATAATAGAAATAGTGTGCGATTGCAAAAAAAGAACTATGGCAAATAATAAATTGGCAATAATTGTGTCAGACGTTATTCCGCCAATGTCACTGTCATTGCCATTGGCTAGAGCTAGTAGGTTCAAAAACACTGTACAGAATAAAAAGTATTAATAAAAGTATAAATGGAAATTCGAAATAATCGAAAAAAATAATTATTATTAAGTACTTTAGATAATGTGTAAAAAAAAAAAACTATGACAGTGCCGACTATTATTATGTATGTATCATCATCTCGACTAATTAAAAATTTACAAGAAGACACCGCCCGGTCGTAACAATGATTAAGATATAATTAAAATAAAATAATAATTTCTAAATAAAAATTAATGAAACATTGCGAAATAACAATCAAATTTCTAGTATTGTCTGGTTTTTTTTTTTACGACAATGCGGTGATAAAGTTGAAAAAGAAAAAAAGAACAACAGCAATAATTATTCATTTAATGAATAATAATAACTATTGGCCTTGGTGTAAGTGTCTAAAACCGTTAACAACAAAATCTTAAATCAAGTGTACTGTTATGAAGAATAATATGCGCGTCATAAGTGATTTATTTATTACAAAGATTTTATTTTGCTAATCGATTTTCCCGTGAAATTCAATACGACCATTGTAGTGCATTCAAATTTAAAAACCCATCGGATTTATGATAATTTCGTTACAAGAATATAACTGTTTAAAATATGGTTTACTGTTTAAAATAATCGATAACATTAAACCGAGTTGGTTTCAAACATTTAAAAAAAAAAAAAAATAATGATAATAACGAAATAATTCAACGCATTAAATACTTGAAAATTGAACGAATCCTTTGTAGGCATTAAAATGATTTAAGTAGGTGTCATAATAATATAAGGCTTACAAAGAAATGCAAACATAAAAATATAACAGAGGCGCATAAAAAAAGCCCAACTCTTTGTATTAAATAAAATACCGTCAATTATTTATGTGAAAATAACAAAATATACATCAAGTCAATAAATATTAACACCAAACTATTAACGAGACCATTTAAGACAACCTTTATTCTTTGTATTTTAATGTTTACAAAGGATTCGTCGTTTAATTCTTAAGTCTGTAAATCCATACCGTGTAAACTGTTTGTTTAATTCACGTGTTTGGTACTCTAATGAAGAAATCTATCGGTTTAGATAATATCGTGACACGAAAGTAAATAAAAATCCAAAACGAAATAAAACGGGGACAATTTTTTGTAAGCTCAGATTTATTTTTAAAATATTTTCTAGGCGAAAACGTTTTGGCGTACCAAGGATTTTTCTACAACGTCAAATGTACAATAATCACATTGGTTTTTATTATACCATTAAGTCGTTGTTCGGGTGTTAAGCAATCGTATTTGTCAAGCAACGACCGTGTTAATATATTTTTATTACCAAATGGGAAATTAACAAAGGGATTGAAACGATTCAATTATGTATCAATAAAGAAAACGACGGTGGCGGCGGCGGCTCGGTAAATAACAATAATAATAAATAACATCGTCGGTTGGTGGTATGACGTGAAAGCTTAATAATATTATAATGGAAACGATAAAAATATTTTTTACGGAGCAGTGTATATTTTATCAAATCAAAATATTGCAATTATTTTTTAATGCCGAATAAGAAAACTTAAATTCTACATCCGTGGTTGCCATAGCGACTGGACAGGTTTTTTTAAGGATATTTTAGTCTGGCGGTAAGAGAAAAAAAAACGTGTTCGATTAATCCGTATATTATCTCGTTGACATTGAAGGTAGGTACACGTCACGTTGGTACAACACGGAAGTTAGCACAGCAGCTGTGACGGAGTGATATTATTAATAATAATATTATACTTACAGAAAACTGCTACGATTGCGATAAAAAACATCATATCGATACTGGTTCGCCTCGGGTCGGTCCGTGGTGAATCTGAGAGAAAACAATGATATTAATTTATTTTGTTATCGTATAATATTATATTACACTACGGCCGCCGTCGACTCGAGTTTGAAAATGTAATTATTATAATAATTAAATAATCTATATCGCAAATGAACGACACACAAAAATTAACAGCGTGTACTCACAAAAATAAAAAAAACCGTACCGTAACCGTCGGCCGGGCTGACTGATAGCACTATCGCGGCACACGCCGTACACGTTGAAAACACTCGGCCAATTGCCGCGATAACGGCGCGCGGCCAACTATCGATAGTGTACAGCCGCCGTAGTACCGCGGTATAATACTGGGACGCGCGCAATCGACCGAACTATCGATAGTACCGCGTTCGTGGTATCAATGACCTGTTGGTTACCCGCGGCTGCCGGCGGGCCTAAGGGCAATTATAGTTGCAAGCAACTGCTGCAGCTGCTCTGCTGTGTAATGTATGTGTATTAATAATATGTTGTGTTACGTGACCGACCGGCAGTAATAATAGCGATACACTGAACTCGAAAGCCTTCGCCGACCGACGCAATCAACCGACAACGACCGCGATAGGTAATGACGAAATTAAAACAAATCATCGACAGTATCGGGGGGTTTTTTTTTTTTGTTTGTTTGTTGTATTTCGTTTACCCGCTACTATTTTGCAGCACACGTACACGATAAATATTTTTCTAATATTAGCCGACAGGCGCGTAGCCAGGAAGTTCAAACGGGGAGGGGGAGTGTTTTCTAAAATATTTACTTCAAGTATAACTTAACAAAATTTCATGTTGATCGTACAATCATACAAATTTGTTATGTTTACATTAATTACATTTTCGTGCGACGACGTTTTATGGCCGAATCATTTATTATTTCCTTTATCAATAATGTAGGAATGTAAAAACACCTATAACATTCCCCCTCCCCCCCCCCCTACTCGCATGTTAGCCGAGTACCTTGGTCACAGAATAGAAAGCGGAAGGGTCACTTTCGATGTAAACGATAAAGTGACGGCCATTTTAGTATTATAATAATGGGTATGTTATATCTATACACAACAAAATATAATAATAATGTATAGATAAAACAATATCGTAGTGGTGTAGTCTTAAAAATATGGCCCCCGAATTTTCCAAAAAGGCTAAAGACTATGAATACCTATTGCTAATAATATGTATTTTAAGGGATTTTTTTTTCTAGCCCCAACTCCTTTTTTGCATTCCTAGATACCCATCTGTCCGTCTGTAATGATGTTTTTCCGTTGTTATTCGTACAGGGTGATTCATTAATGCTAAGACACTCATTCTCTCTTCAAATAATTGCAACTTTGTAGTTTTTTTTTTGGAGACACTAGCTTATTTTGTTACTGTTATTTTACAATAATAGACAATACTCAAATTTTTTTCAAAACTATCAACTTTTAAAACTTTAATTGTAACTATAATGTAAAAACAAAATATAAATGTTGTCTGCTTATATTTTAATTTTGAACCACTGTGCAACGTAAATTTACAATATTATATTAAATAGAGTACGTGATCAGGTATATTTTTAAGAGCCTAATTCCTGAACCTAACCAAAAGTGTGCTGTGTAAAAGATAAATGTGATCATATTTTGTGCATTATTAATTTTAATATTTTTTCACAAACATGTACTCAACCAACATTAGCTATGAAACATCCAAACATACTGTACTTTTTTTAATTTTTTAGTACTTGAATAATTCCTATTTTTAAATCAATAAACCTAACCTACAATATTCGTGTTAGGATTTTCAAATACCTAACTCTTGTCACTATAATTTCAATCATTAATTTGGTCATTGTGACTGATAAGGTCTTGGAATTTAGTTAGGTCAAGTTAGATTAGTAATTATAATAAAATAGTATTATATTTTTTTTTTCCTAGCCAATATTATGCTTAGGTACCTTATTAGGTAGGCATATTTTATATTTATGATCTATATAACACTAATGTATAGTTAACTTTATATGTTTTATTAATTTTCCATATTATATCTCTTAATTATCTTCGAAAGAATGATTAAATACATAGTTATTTTTGTTTTGTTCTTATATTTATAAGATTATTATGAATAAGCATTGTTTAAAAAGGTCCTAGCACATATTTATCTATCCGAACCAACTATGAACATAATCGTTTTTTATATTTAAGAAAAAAGTAAGTTTTATAATGTTTTTATTCGGGTTATGTATAAATAAATATTATGAAATATTTTTTCTCGCTCTTGGGGCTCATTAAAAAAAATCTTGTTGACATTTTTGTTGATAAATTATTTAGAAAAATTAATCTTTTGCTTGGCCTTAGACCAATGCCAATTTTTGCAACTTTTGGCAAATTAAATTTTTAATTTGTTATTTGGAATAGCCTATTGCTAAATTTATTCATTTTATCGTGCTGACTTTCAGCAGTCCTCATGCACGCAATTAAAATAGTTTTTAAATGCATAACTTATTTTCGAACAAGAAAAAAGTGGCATGGGCGTTTCTTAATATATTTTATTTAAAGACTATACAATAATATAAGAACCTTCTAATTCGTTAAGGCAGTGGTATAATCATATGTTGTCTGAAGTCAATTAACAACTTAAATATTATTTAAATAAAAATACTATTCATAGACGACAGTTGTAAATATATTGTGTTTATTATTTATATTTTATCTCCAAGTTAAGAGGGCGTCGCACCGTCCATTTTTAAGGAGTCAAGTATAGGTACTTTTTACAAAATCTTAATTTAAAGGTTAAACTGTAATGTGTAATTATTAGTTCAATAACTAGGACTCTATTTTGGTTGTTAATTTATTTTTTGGACTATCACAGCATCCTTGGAAGCTATTTAAAAATGTATTTTCATAACTACATGTTTAAGCAGACTGAAAATAGCTCGCTTAATTTTGGTTTTAGAGTAAAAGCACCCATTATAAAATTAAAAGAGAACAATATTCCGGAGGGCAAGACGGTGTGTTTTTTTTTCATTATTCTAAGTATAACGCTCAATACATAGTTTAGAAATAACGACTATTTTAACATTTTTAAAGGACTGAAAAATGAATTTTTTTAAAAAAACGAACCGTCTTGCCCTCCGAAATATTGTTCTCTTTTAATTTTTTTATACATGCTTGCACTCTAAAACCAAAATTAAGCGAGTTGCTTAAACATGTTTTTACCACTGAAAATCACCGGTGCGACGCCCTCTTAAACAAATTATATTATGATGATATTTGTCACGTGCACATATTGTAGGTATTTCGTTGTTTACTTATTCATTCTAGTTTACATAACTTATTATCAAACGTCTCACAAAGAGAACATGGTGACCTATTTATTCCAATTATATTTAGATTTTAGACAGCCATAATACAAATACATTAGTAGGTATAGTGATAGACATTGATTGACACCCATATACTTATTTGCATACATATTTAGTCGCAAGTGTTTGAAAAATTAAAGTAGTTGTATCCATTAAATACTGATAAACCTTATAAATGTCTAAAATAAAATTTCTGAGTACCTATCGCTGTGCCTATTTCATATTATAATATTAGTGAAAGAGTTATTATTTAAGTCTAAAAATAAAGTTGAGACCACAAAAAACACCGTTTAAATACTCACTGTACTCAGGTACAATTTGTAGATGTTATATTGTATTTAAATGAAAATTATTTAATGAACAAATTATTAAAATTAAAACTACATTAGAAAATCTATACAAAAACTTATTGTATTTCATACAAATATTTTTCTTATAACATATTTCCATTTATTAACTATCTATTTATTAGTCTTATATTTTATAAATACTTATAAAATACTTAGAAGCTAAAAATATTTTTTTTTTATAATGCTAAGTTTTGAAAGTACTGTTTCTAATGTGTTATTTACAGCTGCTTAAGAGCTCTTTATTTATTGATGTTTTGTTAAATGTCAATGGTTTATATTTAACCATTACGTATTTCTATTAATTTTAAATAATATAATATATAATATTAAACTAAATGTATTTAGTCATAGCTGTTGTATTGAAAATGAACGTGGTTTTACTAGTTTTCATTGAGCAAGGTAAACCGTAAATTCCTTGTTACAGGTATAAGTTTAATTCATGGTTATACGGCCTTAACATAACGACGAATATCATATACCTACCTATATATAAATAATATATACTTAATACTTGGAAGGTGAATAGTTTAACTCAAACTGTAAAATTTAACCAAGTGTAATTTAGTGATAAATAATAAATGTAAACAAAAACTATAAAGCCTTTGAATCTTAAAGTTTTAAGCAAGTCTACCATCTAACGACCAAAATGTGACTTTGTCATCTATCTTATACAGCATTTTTGATATAAATAAAATAAAATTGATATAAAAATGTGTGTCACGCGATTTTATATCTATGAACGTTTTAAATTCGAAATTTCAAAGTGTTTATTTGACGGTTTTAATTTTATTTATTTATTGCAAAATTAAAAAAAAAATTACTTAAAACTGGTTATCGACCAAACAAGAAATTTTCAGAAATGTTTACTTAATTTAAACATTAAACCTAAAAATTCAATTTTTGTTATTTTCATACAATGTAGTCCTCTAAATTATGATTTCAACATCACAATTTGAAATACTAAACATTACAAAGTTAAACTATAATTAACACATCATACTAACACTGCGGTTATGCAACAAATCAAAATATAATGCATTTTATTATAACGTTTAATGATAATGCTATTTAACACACCTATTATACTTATATATGACATAGCTAATATAATAGTAAATGAACGATCATGATAACCATTGCCCTTGTAATTTTTTTTTTTCTGGACATTAGTCACACAATAATAGCTATATTAAAAACTATTGCAATTACTTTATTCTATTGATAATAATGGTTTTTAAACAATATATTTATATTTTATTTTTGAAAACATTTTTATCACTAAATAACGGTTGTAAACAGGCTCTTTAATTATATAAACTTGTACATTTAGAAAAAAAATAGTGTATTAATTATAATAAATTATTTTTATTAAAAACAAAAAGCCAGCATAGTAAGGTCGGAGGGTTACCTGTGATATTATTACCTGTAAATTGTAATCATAATAGCTGAAACTGATAAAAAACATTTAAAAAAAACGTTTTAATGCGAAACTGTAGATACAACAAAGTATTAAATATAAATCACTTAATTGTCAATTATATAATCGTGTTATTTAATTTTTTGGGTTTCCCAAAAATAAAGCATGACTGGATGTTTGAATTTTTTTAAAACTTTTATCGAAGAATAATAATTTACTGAACGTTTAAATGGACTTAATGGATTAGGCAATTCATTATAGGTGTACAATTTAGACGTTTTTTTACGGAAGATTTTGAAATAATTTTTTACAATATTCATTTGTTTTAATAACTAACTTTTCAATAATGTAACTAGTCGGTATGTTTAATAGATGTGTCTATTAAAAATTAAAAATAGCTCAACTAATAAATAGCTAAAAATGCACACTAATAAAAATTACCTACAATTTAATTCTACATAAGTAACCTACTGCATACACAATATATGTATGCATTAACTGTTGTTGAAAATACATAAATTATATGAACAATATTATGTTGTCTTATTAAAAGTACAATAGAAAAACTAAGCATTTTTATTTTTTCTTTAATTTATTTTTCACATAATTTATTAAAATATACGAACATAATTAGAACTAAGTTGTTAATGAAGTAATTAGTTATAGTATACTTATTAGTTACTGTGTATGCACATTAAAGAAACACAAGTGGGAAATTTTGGATAGTATGTTTTTGAAAACAAATAAAAATGTAATGTTTCACAAAAAATATAAAATATTAATTATCAAGCTCAAATAGTTTTATGTAAAGATAAGACGTTCACGTTTTGAAAATAAAAAAAAATACCTTTTCAGCTTCGCATGGAAGCTAAACAAAAAGATAAAATTAAAAGTAATAGAATTTTAAGATTTCTTGTTCTTAAAATAAGACTATCGTCTATAAAGGGGTCTAAAGTAGTACATAAAAAGCTCAAAATTTGTACAAATTTTTAATTGTTCTTTTTTTTATCTTTACAAATGACTAAAAATGTAATTATACCGCTTATATTATGTTTATTATACTTAATGGATAGTGTTTTTTTACGGTGTTTTTACTATTCAGCAATAATAAATCCTATGAACTAGTGACTGCCCCAATTAAATTTTGTTAAATTTCAAAGTTTTTTTTTCAACCCTTTATTGCGATATTTTTGCATTCCAATCATCATAACTTTAGACGTCCCAGACGGTGAAATACTTTTCATAAAAAGAATTAAGTTTATCTAAACAAAACATTAATACAAATTAAATAGAATAGATATAGTATATATAAATATTATAAAACATTCTTAAGTGGTTTGAAAGCGGTTCTAAAGAGGTTTTAATAAATTTCACCCATGATAATGTACTCTCAGGTTAATTAGTACAAGCTAGAGAATATTATTTTAAACGTATATAATTTTTTTTATGAATAAAAGCCATTTTAGTGGTAAACAAAATATGCTTTTACTATGACAAAATTGTGAGATTTTGGTCGGTTACATTAAAATTCTGCAAAAAGACAAGAATTTGGTTGGTCTCTTTATGTTTTTGTTACCTCTTTGACCTCTCTATAATTATTCCTGGATAACTGATAAGAGAATCGACTGCTAAGACATTATGAACGATAAGAGACAGAAAATCAGTTAATTTTAATACACGCTTCATGATCCAAGTTTATCCTCAAAATGAAAGATCAAGTTATTAATCTAACTGCGTTCAAATACATCATAGCAATCTGTGCCATTTGGACGTCTTATAATGGAATATCTCAAATGAATTGAACATTTTCTTTACACAAAACTTTAATGCAAAATATTATACCTACATTTATGGGAATTTAGTGTAAACATTTTGATAATTGACATATTATTTTGTCAAAATTACTTACTAGAAGTGTATGTGGAAAATAACCAGTCGTTAGTGCTTCGACTCCGGTAGTCGTTAACGCAGATTGGACATATTTTTCTGGGGTAGGTGCAATCCAAGAGGGTTTTTCTATCTTACTCATCTTGGTTACCACATAACCAGGCATCACGCACTGAATAATAATGCCAAAACGTTTATACTCGGTACCAAGGTCTTCGCTGAATTTCTCTACGAATTTCTACGGTACAGAAACAACAATAATAAATATTAAAATAAACTCATTTGTCAATGCAGTCGATGTACGCCTTACCCACTTGTTGTATACCCACACTAGAATCTAAAACCCGTTAGGTAATTCTTCTTTTTAACAATGATTATTATGATTTTTGTTGTTATTATTTTACATTTTTATTCTTATTGTAAGACAAAGTTCGGGTAAGGAGAATAAACATTTTTTTCTCGTGTAAAAAATTTCAAGAATATTATTTTACCAGTTGTTAAATGTACATATTTTTACAATCCTCAAATTTCAAACACTTACAAGAAGAGTAATTATTTACCACTGATATGTATGTATTTTCTTGGACATTCGCATATCTGTGGCACGGTAATATAGAATTAAATTTGTAGGCTACTTTTCTATTCACTCGAATTCTCGATGTGTTTTACTTATAAATATTTATTTCAGATAATAAAATTTATTTTATACCGGATAAATTTACTTAAACTAATGGACTCGGGGTAAGTAAAGATGAGACATTAACTTCCTGGTGAGATTTTGGCGTGCACAGAAAGTGGGCATTGTGTATAGACTAAGGTCGCGTTGTTAAATAATATTTTATTCGTTTTTTTTTTTACTTTTGAAGACCCATAAACGGTTAATAGCGGACAGGGACACGGTGCTGACGCTGATCCAATATTCACAATGACCCCTCGACGTTTTTTAACCATACCGGGCATGACAATTCGGCACATGTTAATCACAGACAAAATATTGCACTTTACAATATTGTCCAGCACGGGATCGTCTCGTGTGAAATTTAAAAAATACTCTGGATGTGGATAGCATTGTCCTGCGTTATTAATTAACACCCCAATGTCCATCCCGTCGAGCTCTTTGGTTATCCGCGAATACAACGCAGACCCTTCTTCCGTGAAATCTGCTATAATAATTTTAGTCTCGACGCCGTAAGTGTTACCTATATACATAGGTTTTATATTAATTATAATAGACAGATACGTTGAATAGTAAAATCCGCCTTAAAAAAACATGCACAGTGGGGTAACAGTGGGAACGGAGCATAGTCAGGTCAATGTAGTCAAAACAATGTAGAAATTAATACAGAGTGCGATTCATTAAGGATAAGACACTCTTCTTTTTTTCTTAAAACATAATTGCAACTTTATAGTTTTGCTATTTTAATACACTTTAGTTTATGTTATTTTACTACTGGTTATCCAAAAGGCAAAATGTTCAACTAATTATTCTTAATTTAAAAGTTAATTATAACTATACTTTGCCATTTAAGTTTCAAAAGCTGATAGAGCTTTGGAAAACACTAAAAAAGTAAATATTTAGAAATTTTATAACACTGGAAAATAACACGAAAGTGTTTTCAGAAAATTAAAAATTGTACTTTTTTCTGAGAAACATGAATGGACCTAACCGGGTACAGGCGGTTTCTATATTTTCATTCTGATTTGAATACTGAAGTAGGAAGTCTTCTTTAATAAAATAACTAACTATATTTAAAAAAAAAATATTTCAAGTTTATCAACACGAAATGACCTTGGCAAGCATGATTTCGGTGCACGTTAAGACTTAATACAATTATTTTGAGTATTAATAAAAGTCGATGAAGTGCTATTACAATACTTACGAATATATTTAGCGGTATGTTCAAGTTTTGATTCGGTTCTACTTATTAACACTATAGCCATGCCCATTTTGGCTAACTAAAAATGCATGGATCGATAAATCACAGAAATAGTTTACATATTGCTATGTGTTATTATTGTTTCATAATTAAATAATCAAATAGAATATACAAATATTATAAACGGTATCGTACTTGTTCAGCGTAAGCTTTTCCAATTCCATCGGTAGAACCGGTCACAACTAGACATAGAAATATATTATAAACTTAAAATAATTAACAAATTTTTAATTGATTAGCTCCACAACACAAAAAAACAACGAACAGGAAATATTACTTAATATTTATATAAATTAGAGCAATTTAATCGAATGAAAATTATTTCCTGAAACGATATTGTCCGCGAATGGCATCACAATGTACATATTCATTTTGTACCTCAAAACTTAATAAATATAATAAAAAATAATTGTAAATAAAAAACATGTATTATTTAGCAAGAATAAAAAGTAATGTTAGTAATGTTAGCTTTTTGTCTTTACTGTACAACTCGAAATACTGGAGATGTTCCCTTTTCCAAATCATCCGGTAGTTTGTATTATTTCACCTTTGGTGCTAAAAGTTGGAACTTTCAAACTATTTTACGTTAAACGGATTTATAATTGATTATATTTCGCTATAGCTACAAAAACTACAATAATCAGCATTTGTGGATTTGTTCATCTAAGGTATTATAAATGCGTTCCATTTAGCTAGTTACCTGCCCATTTTCCAGTTGATCTGAAGTCTATATGTGTGTTTAGAAATGGCGCAATAGCATTATAATAAATTAGACGAATCAAAGCCGATGTAAACTTGAGAACGAATATGGTTAGCAAAAAAAGACTTAATTTTTCTAATGAAGTGTATTCGCTTAACAGCTTAAACATTTTGAACACAATTAATGATTTAAAAAAATAGTATTATAAGAAACCGATTGACGATAGTTTAATATTTGGCATAACGTTGTTGAGTACTTCTCTTATAAGTATACTTAGCAAAGATGATTAGGAAAACAATAAAACGATGTTTTATTTTCATACGCTTGTATGATTAGGTACACATAAAACATAATTTGCATGGATAATTTGTTAATGTATCTATATATTTATTTAAAATAACTATGCAATACATTTATTGTTTAATTTTTTGCCATCAAAATTTCTATATTCAATATAATATATCCTTTCATATACTATACTAAATGGTATTTTAATACCTGGCTTTTTATCTATGATATTTCTCGTTTATATTTACACCAATTTCACATTACTCAAACAAAAATAAGGCAAAGTACAACGTTTTACAACAAGGTTACTAAATATTTTTTTCTAAAATTGTTGACTTGACTATAAAACTCTATTCTGCTAAAATCTCAGATGGAATTTCGGGAAAGGAAGGAGGAGAACTGAAGACGCCCTTGCACAAATATCTATGGATATTTAACCTAACAAACAAAACAAAACACTAGGGGCCGGCTTTGACCTCAGTAAAGTTATGGACAGCATTTCTCATAAAACTCTAGTAAATATTCTTAAATCAATTGGCATAGTCAGAAAAAAGCTTCCCTGATCTCAAAATGATCAAGAAAACAATCAAGTCAGAATCTACAATCACCTTTGCAGTTCCCCAATAGAAAGTTTTAGTACCCATTTTATATTTAAGATATGTAACTCCATTAGGTAATTTAAATCTATATGGAAACAATTTTCTTACGTAGACGATATAGTCATACTTAAATCTGGAGCCAGTTGGCAAGACATTTATAAAAAGAAGTGAAATTGTTTAAACATGATTGAAGAATGAACTATACCAAATATAATTTCATAGCCTTTACTCATTGAGGTATAATATAATTATAATGATTCTAAACAAATCTAAATCATACCCTTCTCGAAGACTTTTTAAAGTTTTCTCTACAAAACCACTATTTTATAGAATTTTTCTATATTTCACGTATAAAGTCGATTGAATACAAATTAAATCAATGTATAATATAAGACAAACAAATAACTTAGAAATTTCAACTATTCGAAGTCTAACCGAAATTTTTCACAAGTAGATCTAAACCTATTAAATAAAGTCCCAATTCATATAATAGCTACAAAACTTATATTAAATAGATTAAAATATGGTTAAACTATAAAATAAACAACTTATAGTTCAAATGGTGTATGTGCTGTGAATCTAATTTACCTGATTTATATTTATTATTACCACGATTATCTACTTAATAACCGTGATTATTACTAACTACTAATTGCTATTTTTATTTTATTTTTTTCTATTATTATAGATTGTCTAAATTATTTATCTACATATTTTTAATCCAATTATTTATATTAGTTCTCCAATTTCACCAATAAGAGGTTGTCCGCAGTAGTGAGTTATGCCATTAATTTTTTTATTTTTTTTCCTAATAACAATGAATGATTATTATAGTTTATTCTATGATGTTCAATCAATTATTATTGTTATATTATTAATTTGTAAATAACCAAAACTTCATTATTAACTTGTAAGCACACCTAAGTGTTTTTATTCAGTACACACTAAAAAATATTGATGGGCTTTTCTTGGATAAATAATCAATAATTAGTAAATACATATTATTGCATTAATTTCGTACATTGTTATTTATAAAAATGATTAACAACACATTTTATGTACTTGATCTTTTTACGATTCAACTTCGACTATGCACGACTGGGAAAACAGAAATATTTCAAAACCAGTAGGTTTGCTTTTAGTACACTTGTTAGTTTTTTCACATTGCCAAAATTATAATATAAAACCAGTATAAACAAATTAATATTTATTACGTTAGTAAAATAATACTTTATAAACAACTATTTTGGTTTTCCTGATGACTTGACCTCCAATTGTTTAATAAGCCTAAAAATGAAAAAATATTTTAGTTAAAAACAGCAGTTAATGAACTAGTATGCCATACTCTTCGACTTCGTTCTTAGCATCATCCGCTGGCTTAGTCAATACTTTTTTCAATGCCCCAATCATATAGTCTTTGTTCAGAGAATCTGAAATCGGCAACAATTCATTTTAATGTTTAGTTTACAACTCATTATGCAACTACTTCTAGATGTTCCTTAATCTTAAGTAAAAAAAAAAGTGGTTTACTTTTCGAATCTTTCTTGTCATTTGGGCAATCGTCGGCTTTTGATTTCCTTTTGCCTAAAGAATTTAACGTCGTCAAATACTTTATCTCGCCCGTTTCTGGGTCCAGTGGCAATTTCAGACCTTCCAATTTACTTATTATGTCTTTTTCATTGTAAGATGTTATTTTGCTCGACTCATCAGCGTCTTGTTGTGCGTTAAGTGTAAAAAAAATATTATTTTAGTTGGTTTTTTTAGCTTGACTAAGAAAATCGGCTATTTAACAAGGCCAATAATTAGACTCTTGAAAAGACATTGTTTCCATTCGGCTGTAGTTTATGTATTTATTGTAAGTACACTACATTAAAGAAATAAGCTTACTACTTACTGGCAGCATCAGTTTCTGATTTTTCATTTTGCGCTTTTTCTTCTTCGGTTTTTTTTCTCTCGTTATTTTCGGCAAGTTTCTGGCCTACTTTTGCATACAGTGATATTAATCGATCTTCGAGCTCATTTACAATTTTTTCTATACTCTCTGGGTACCCATAGTCAATTTTCATACATTTCATGAACTCCAAAGCCCACTGAAGTTGATTTATACCTGCGTGAAAACCTACGATTGTAAATGTGCAAAAAATTATCAATACAGAGGTGTACCTATTTGTATTTTCGACCCTTTGCCATACACTGACCAAAGTACAGTTATCAGATTGTCCCATAAAGTAGCAAAAGGCTGTTGGAGCGCATAAGTTGGGCCAGTAGCTTTTGGTTGGACGCGAAAATGATACAAAACCAGAACAAACGCTGATTCTTTATTTCTATAACAAAAACATATTGTTCATTTGCATTACATGGACTCTGCTTTGTTCATAAATACTTAACTGATCGCCCGCCGTTGCCATTTTCCCAGTGAATTTTGAATAATTTAAACGGCCAAAGGAAATTTAGCAATACTTGTTTAAAAAAAACTACACAACTATTAGCTATTTCTAGCCAGTCATTATAAATTAGGTACACCTTTATAAAGAAATTTGAGTAAAACATTTCAAAAAACAGTCCGTAACTTAAATATGTTTTAGTTTTAATAGTATTTTAAATGTATATTATAGATTTTTTTTATGAAATATGATTTTTTATTACTACTATACCATAAGGCTGTATCAACTTATACAAGCTCTGTCGGTATCAAGAAAACCGTTAGATGTTTGCATCGTGGATAACATACCTTGAGGCTTTCATAACAATTATTATGTCTTACTGGCTTACAATTTTTTATTCCAAAGTCCACTTTGTAACATTTAAAATGCATGAAATAATTAATTTATCACATTTTTTACTCTTAAAAAGTTATAAAATAAAATAAACATTTTTGGATGTAACATTATTTAGTTTTTACAAAATTACAATTAAATTGTATTGTAAAATTATTGTAATATATAAAATATTTTGTTATTATGTAACTAATAATCAAACGGTGCCGTCATTATCAGAATATTGCACCAAAGAATATACTGTGAGGATTTGGGTAAACGACATAACGTAATAGACAAAAAAGGCGTGTCTCCTTTCCGGTTTGAAATGTTTGGTGCAGCATAAGTCATAACTCCGTGCAGTTTGCAGATGCAACCGAAAACATAGCAAGATTAGTAGTTGTTCCTTAAAGTTTTAAAGGTGCAACCAAAACAGCAACGGAGTAGAAGAAGTCGTGGAAAAAACAAAGGTAGTGATGAGAATAGAACTTGTAACGTCAGAGGTAATGTGATATGAGATATGCATGAAATAAAATATTAACAAGAAAATTAAAGGCAGCAATTTATAGTGGTGTTAAGCCATAACAGGATTGGAGGGGTCTCACGGGAATCTTAATATTTTTAAATTAAAACCCCTTCTCCACTTCAACTCTTATTTAAATTTTCATCGCACAGAGAGAACTTGTAACGAAACTATTCACACCTATTTAACACTTAATTACATAATGCAGAACAGATAAAATATGGTGGTGAATCTCAAAGGGTTATAATTTTTTGTTACTACATTTAAAGTTTTTCACAAAACATA